AGATGGCATTCAAGCATAGCCTTTGTGTGAATACGTTGGCAATTATGGACGAACTCGGTAAGGGGCTACTGTACACAACACCGCTGTTGTGAAAAGCAATTGCCGCGTGAGGCATTATTCTGAGTAAAAGCCAGCACAATGCTTTCACCATTCAAGGGGCCTTCGAGATAATAATAACAGAAAGCGCTGGTATCCGCCTCAATCGACGCTCATGGCGCTTCAATGCAAAACAACCAATGTAAGAACGAAATCATATACAGAAAACTTTCTGAAAGTCACATTCTGAACTAAGATAAGCCGCACTATACAAGCAATATTGTAATTAACACATATGGAGGTTTTCAAACTTTTTTTGAAAGTACTAATTGAATTTGAAAGTTTCACAGTTTCAATGAACAAAAGTGACGAAAAGAAACTGGACTCGTTCCAATATCAATGCCTGAAGAAAATTATGCAAATATTTTGGCCCAACATCATCTCAATGGAGGAACTCAACAACATGACAGAAGTAAATAAAATTAGTCTGGAAGTGAAAAGAAGGAGATGGAACTGGATAGGTCATATACTGCGAAAAGAGAAGGAACACCATTGCAGAACTGCTCTGACATGGCATCCAGATGGCAAACGAAAAGTTGGCAGGCCAAAAACAACATGGCGTAGAACAGTGGAAAAGGAAAGGGAAGATCTTGGATGGAAGTCATGGAATGAGGCACGGAATAAAGCAAAAGACAGGAGACAGTGGAAGAAGAGTGTGGAGGCCTTATGTGCCAGCCGGCACGAAGAGGATAGGTAAGAGGTAAGATTCCAGAGCTTTGTTTTACTCCCTGCGCAAATTTTATCGCCTCATTCTGTGAACTCATAATTTCACTCTGCCAACACATGTTCATTTTTTCATTTGAGTTCGCCATTTCATTTGGCAAAAACAGCGAAGTCATCATTTCATTCCGCGGAATTATCATTATATTCTGCGAATACACCATTTCATTTAGACTTGACTCAAGTCGAAATGGCTTTAAGTCGGTATCTTAAAAAAAGAATCACAAAAATCACTTAGTTAACATCTTTCCACTTAGTTAACTTTAGCACGTGTTCCACGTCAGTGCCGTATAACAATGAGAAAAAACAATATATGTACATTGTACAACACGCGTATTATACCTATGTTCACGACCATTATGTCCGTTTGGTCGATTACGTCCGACAACAGATTTTGACGAGCAATGGCCGATTATGTCCGACCCAATATTGTGTCCGACGGCTGATTATGTCCGACCCATTATGTTCGACCCATTTTGTCCGACCCTTGTCCGACAGCCGATTATGCCCCACCCATTATGTCCGACGACGATGATGTCCGACCCATTGTGTCCGACAATGGGATACGTCAGACCTATGTTGTATTTATATGGTCGATTACGCCGGATTCATTAGGTTGTGTACTGACATTATTAAATTATCTTTGAATTGTAACTGCGAGTAAAATTACCGTGAACAATTCTTAAAATGTCCCCTTTGTGCTAATTGACCTATCGCAGTAGAATCGCGTCAACGCAGCTCGTGAAATACTGTCCAATTACAACGATATACAAATGGACTCGGAAAGCGCAGAATCTGAGACAAACAAAAGTTAACGTACAAAATTCCATAGGGTTGTCTAAGGGGCGTGGCTAACTTGCAAACGGCGATAGGCATTGATCTCCGTCAATTCTTCGCTCGTACCCCCCGCCCTGCAAACAGGACGCTGGGATACGCTGATGAGCTTCACAGAATCTTGTGAAGGAAGTGGCCTTTGACTTATGTATAAAGTATCTGGCTGCAGCTGTTCAAGACCGCAGTTAAACAATGAGCGCAAATGCTATCCGAAAACTTCCCATAGAAATGCACACGTTCCATACCGGATGTGATTTCTGGTTCACTGCGGACCATGTGGACAAAACTTTGAGCGTCGCATAATGCAATCCGACTTTTCGTGATTCGAAACGGAGCCTGAGCAAGTGACGGGAATTGTAAATTTACAACACAGATAAGTTTTACAGATTTTCCTACATCATTACGCTTTTCAACGGAAAAAAACATCTCTAAACTAGAATAAATGAGTAATGAATCAGTTTAAACGGCCGTTTCAGACCTTGCACAGTCATGACCGTGATGACGCGCAGGTCACAGGTCACGCAAAATCCAACCGAACAGAGCGTGAATTCATCAGCGTATCCCGGCGTCCTTTTTGCAGGGCGAGGGGTACGAGCGAACGTCAATTCCGGCGATTCACAATGCAGTGCGCCACCAAAAGTTTGCGAAAGAAAGTTACATTTTCTCAATACATTGTGGGAAATGGTGGACAAATTCGCAGCGTGGCACATTTGAAACTGTTAGTTTTACTGGTTAGTAGTTTCGTATTGCGTATGATTTGATTATTTGTTTGCCCTTTTCTTTTCTTTTTATCAATATGGTGTTCTTTGTAAAGGCGGCTGAACGCTATGCCCAAATCTATAACAAATTAGCTGAAGTTGTCTACTGACACTCGTTCAAATGGGCCATGTTTTGTCGAACGTAAACTTGAAAATGGACTCGCCATGGCAAACTATTGGTGGCGCACTACATTGTGAATCACCCAAATTGCCGGAATTGCGTGTCCGCCCCTTGTTTCTACCCACTTGTTTTCCCCATGGTTCGTGGGTAAAAGTGATTCATCTTGACATGATGACGCGCAAATGTAAAATGCAATCCCCGAAATAAAATTATCTAATCATACTACATGTATCTCTATTTTTTTAATAAAGATATATCTATTTCCAGACGTGTCAAATTGCAGAGCGTCCGAACAGGGAGAAACTTCTTGGAGCAAGTGGCCGATTGTTTACTAGCGGTTGTTCACCCGCTTGTCACGTGACAATTGTGGGCTAGCCGGCGCACGTTCCCACGCTCACAAGGAGTGCGCATTCCTAAATTGCTACATTTCCTGACAGGCGCACATCCCGCGCCTTGTATCCATTTCCAGACGTACTCACATTGATACAATTGTTGGCTCGGTTGTTTTGCTTTTATCGTGGCTTGTACAAATAGGTTTATGCCTTTACTTGCACAAACATCTTTTCATGATTGTTTTCAGTATTTGAAAGAAAAAAAGCTCTCCGCTTTAATCTAAAACCCATAACATAACCATCCACCGATCTTTTTTTTTAAAGGCAGATGTTTTAGGGTTGCATTTTTTGGGTCGCAAGGTATTGTAACTTAATGCCTGACAGGCTGGCTTGCTCTCTGCTGTCGTCAATTTTACGAAAGTCTATATTGCATTTGCATTAAGATCGTCAAAATGTAACCAATCCTCGGATGATTATGGTATTATAATAAATAATGAGATCACTGAGAGTTACTGTTAGTCCATCTGTAATTAGTTAATTATCAAATGCTGTGGAAACGTTTTCTGAATGTTTTTAGATACCACGGTACTTTTGGAATAGTCTTAAGTCAATTTACTTTGTGAGCTGAGTACCATGAGGGGTATTTCATTTCATCAATTATTACACTTCCAAACAACAGATGGTCCATGATCGATCATTTCATGAGTTTGTAAGCTATACCATTCGCCGCTGTTTGTGAGGTGTCGTTTTTCTGAGCCCACTAGTTTTGTGTACACATAAAAATATGACTCGGGTCATGCATTATTTTGTACAAATCGTCACCGACACCACGAACTGACACCCTCTGCATCACATGTGGACCAAAAAAATTAAAAATTCAAATTTTCTTTTTTGCCGATATTAGCAGTTTGTATCATGAAGTTTAACATGACGAAGTTAAAATTGCTAAAATCATCTAAAATAAGCAAATTGTAATAATGAATTTTCAAGAAATTGGTCAATTCTTGTGTTTTTTGTTACCACGAAGTGACTCTGCACAGGGTGTCAGTTCGTGAAAACAAAAATTTGCGTGTTTCCGGAGAGTGTGCGCATGCAATAGCGTTAGAGAGTGTCAGTTCGTGAAAACGAAAATTGACGTGCTTTTGGAGAGTGCGCGCACGCATGCGAAGTGTGTGCGCGCACTCTCCCAAATTACGTCATTTTTACACTCTCTAACGCTATTGCATGCGCGCACTCTCCCAAAACACATAAATTTTCGTTTTCACGAACTGACACCCATCTTAATCATTTAATTGCTAATTAAATAAGCATATTTTCACAATTTAACGTTTATAATTGAGTAGTTAAAGCATTTTCACGTTAAGTGATACTAAAACCTCTAAGATAGATGGATTATTTTACTGAGTAAATTCTTGTCAAACCTTTAAAAGCGTTTTTCTCCGATTTGTATTTCTGCAACGCTGACCACCGGGTGTCAGTTCGTGGTGTCGGTGACGAAATTCATATGGGCAATAAACCTACATGCTAAAAAATATGCACGTCAAACAGTTATCGGAATGCTGTGACGTCATCAAACCAATTAAGTTAAATGCCAATCAGTACAAAGATATACACTTTCGAAAAATTCGGAGACAATGAGGTTCCTTTCACTGTCAAAAATATCATAATTGCTTAAACTGTTCAATTAGAGATTCATCTTCCCGCCATGATTCTTACATTAACACTCGTATCTGAAATGAAACATGCAACCAAATGCTATATTATCGCGCCCCATCACCCTGCGTTCGTCACATAAGTGAACGCCTTACGTCTTGTGAGTTTTCCTACTTTTTCACCAGGTAAGTAGCTTTCGTATGGAATATCAACAGGAAAAAAAACCCAGCATAGTTATCTAATTCAGGAAACACCTTTTCAGGAAATTTAGCATACATATCGCTGTGGCTCTACACAGGGTGGAAGTCCAGTATACACATTTATGGGCTAACGGCCCGGGATCGTCTTTAAAGTTCACGTTTTGGAGAACAAAGTTGTTTCAAAGTGAACTACAGTACAGTCATTAAATTAGTTCAAAATCAATTCGAAAATAACCGTTTGCAAACAGTTTGCTGAATAAAATTCCCCCAAAGCAAAAGTACTAACCTGTACATTTGCGAAATCCTCTGCCATTTTCTCCGTGACTGTGAATCACTTACCACACTGGATGGAACTAATTCTGAAGGCCTCGACACTCCTTTGCATTCGGGTCATTAAAGCTCTGGGTATTTTACATAAGTGAAATATTCACAGGTGGCAATCAAGCGTTGAAATCTACCTCTGCATGAATACGTTGGCAATAATATGGACGAATTCGATTACGTGGTCACTGTAACACTACACCGCTGTTGAAAAAAAGCAATTGCCAGGTGACAAAGAAAATAATCCACGCATTTGTGACCAGCCGTTTTGACTATTTGTAACAGTCTATTGTACGGTCTGCCAATGGCACAGGCAACAAGATTACAAAGGGTCCAGAATGCTGCAGCTAGACTAATTACCAACACAAACAGGTTCGAACACATAACACCAATATTGCGTCAACTGCACAGGTTACCTGTTTTATTCAGGATTAATTTTAAAATCATTTTATCAACATTCAAAGCCATTCACGGCCTTTCTCCAAGATACTTACAGGATCTCGTAACTGCTAGGAAAGAATCCAGACACCATCTCCGGTCAGCGAACAACGGACCCTTTTTGGATTATCCTAGCGGCAAAACTTTACCCACACTCGGTGATAGGGCCTTTGCAATGGCAGCCACTATGCTATGGAATGCTTTGTCATGGCACATACGTACAGTGAACCCAGACTTGCCTCGTTTAAATGTATAAGTTAAAACCTTTCTTTTTAATGTAGCATTTGTAAATTAATGTATTTTCAAGGGTTTTAATGCGTCTTAGTCCTTATTTCTAGCATCATGGTGCCGGGTAGCTAGATGCCTAATAAATTCGCAGGTAGGGTTAGAGGCCTCTGTCTCAAGGAAAGATCGAGACAGTCTGGTTCCATGTATGAAGGAAAATGGCTGTGTCAAGTTACAGGTCTTTGGTGATGTTTCAATGAGACTTGGCAGGACGCCTGGTCGAAAGTTTGTTGACACGGCCTGGGTGTAGCCCTTGCTGCAAAGTTCATTGAACCAGCTGATTTGGCAAGGGTTGAATGGGGATTAGTTAGAAGGTGAACGTTATTGGCCCTAAAAAAAAAAAATTCAAAAAAATGGGTTTGTTGATGCCCCAGGGGCATCAGGTCACTCCGCCCAGGGTAGTACAGACTGAATTTGAAAGTTTACAGCTTCTGGTAGGGTATTCCAGAACTTTGGTGCTGTAATCTCAAAACTTCTCTCTCCCAATAGGCGTAGCCAGCGGGGGGGGGGGGGGAGGAGGGGATTGTTTGGGTTAAGGGGACCCCCAAATTGTGCAAAGACTACCCTTTTCCATTGATATGCCCTTTTTCACTAGCGCCCCCAATAATGACCAATTTTAGTTGAGCAAAATCGTCGTTCCTTCGGCAAAATTGTGTGCCTGTACGCAAGTGTGCCGCCACCGTCTATCGTGTGATATTTTTCAAAATCGTTAAATTACACAGCTATAACTTAAAAATCTAAAAACGAAGAAGAATATAATAAGCGAAGATCCAACTACTTCCCATAATGCACAACTCAGATTAATAATAATGATTAGTAATATTATTATACGTGTAATGTACCTTTAAGGAGACACGGTATCGTAATTTCTACGCACGATGGGAGACATCTGTCATTAGAGAGACATGTTCATGTCTCCCTTATGTCACAGCCCCCCTTTAGAGACAAAATTGTATCGCCACAATTAGGTTATATTTGTTGCTCTTGGTCTAATTAGTAAACATACCGAAATTCGTGGAAAAGGGACAAGGGAATATTGGGTAAGGTCACATTGAAGTTTGAAAAATGTTGTGCACAAGTCAATGGGGATGTCTCCCAAATGTCCAATCCAATTACAATACTAATAATAATTTTTGCTACAATAGGGCGACTTTGCCATAGACTTATGCACAAACCTAAACTGACACCTAACACAAGTTAACCTTATCCTTTCTGTATTTTTACCAATTGGAGCACGAGAAATCGATCCAGATGGTGATCCTAACCACAAAAGGGCGACAGTTATATGTCGCCTTAATACGGAATGACAAACCAACTGGTCAAGGAATTCATTTGTCCACAAAATGCTTCACTTGACGCATCTTTGGAAATGGCCTTCTTGTATTATTTTATTCAAAATGACAGCATACCTGAAAGAATAATTTCCCAGAAAGTTTAATGCCATTACCATCTTTAACCCGAAGTAAGCGTTACAACAATAATTTCGTCAGTTACTTTTTGGATAGCTGAAAATGATCTACCCTACCTTTAACAAGATATAAGCTATTATCTAACAAGAGACAATTCACACCACGGTAGTTGTGGCAGGGTTAAGCCCCGTCTCTGCTGCGAATTATTTTTTTTCCCAGACGACATCCGCTAATATCACAAGAGGGCGCTCTCTCTCTCTCTCTGCGTTATATTCGTGATGTCGAGGGCTTTAAAGAAACGTTATATAACAAGGAATAATGGTGTTCAAATCACCAACCATTGACAGATGATTCGTGGACTGGTTTGAAGTAGTCCTGACTTCTAATTAGGTGATCCGAGTTCGAACCCCAGTGAGCGTTTTTCACTTCTTCTCAGTTTACATTTAAGTGAGGAAGGAACACTTCTCACAAGACGTAAAGCCTACCTTGGGTTTTTGTTTTGGAGAACAGTGCATTAGTTTTATGCAATGGACCAATCAGAAGATGGGAAACAGATGTCGTTTGGGAAAAAAACTCTCGTCCCGATGATGTGGGAGGGACGTTGCTGCACCTGTTGAATTCCACGACCATAATAAGCTCCGGAAGCAACTTAAGCACGTGATGGGCCGACAAGAAACAACTTCTGACAGAACACGGTAATTTGATCTGCAAAGTAATATGAAGAAAACTCTCATCAGCCACAAGTCTGGTCGGTTTGTTAGGATGTATGTATTTTGATAGTAGCAAAAATAACATTCAATGGCTTAAAACTATTGGACACAAGGTAGATTCAAATTTAGATCATGATAAATACTCTCTCCAACCTTTGTGCATTTGGTCATACTACGATTTGAATCATTTACAGCTTATTAATTTTTACGTTTGTGTAATCATACAGGTGAGTCAAAAAAAGCGGAACCCAAACCCAAAAAAATATATTTCATATTTAAAAAAAAATATGTAGCACCAAAAATAATAATGACTGGAAAGCTAATTTCATTTCACTTTTAGATGAAAAAAATGACTGAAATTCGTAAATCCGTTCAGAAAATAATACTATTTAAAACACAATTACCCTAAAACCTGTCTCGTCCAAAAAAAACCCGCGATTTCACGAATCGTCGTCGCAATTGTCTTAAACATCACCAGCGATGAAATCTTAGTTTAAACGTTAAAAATATTCAACAGAATCCCTTTGAAGGCCCGTCCTTTAAAAGAAATAGATTTTATAAATCACAATGTTTGCCTAACCAGGGTTGTTCATAAAGATATTGTGTACTACAGTTGGTGACATTTTGTTAAAAAACAAGTATTCTGTTTTATTTTCTTTGTTGTTCCAGTCAAAACACACAATGAATTTCTTTGTTTTTTGGACGAGACAGGTTTTAGAATCATTGTGTTTAAATGGTAATATTCTTTGAACGGATTGAGCAATTTCAGTAATGTTTTCATCTAAAAGTAGCTTATGAAATTGGCTCTCCATTCATTATTATTTTTGGTGCTACACAATTTTTGAAATATATTTTATGGGGTTTGGGTTGCGCTTCTTTGGACTCACCATGTAGTAGGAAGCCCCGTTGCCAGCTCAGGGCATTATCTCGGGGGGGGGGGCACAATAGCGGCTATGCGGGGAACACCATGAGATAAAAAACAAAAATACATATACATTATAATTTTGAAGTGTATGGTTTTAGTGCGGGGGGTGGGGTGGCTTGCTGCCCCCGTTACCGACGGGCCTGGTAGTAGGTAAATTATGTTAAATAAATAAATAAAAAGTATTAACTCGACGTTCCGGTCAGCATGCTCTGACCTTCTTCAGGAGAGTCAGTAGGTCTGAAGAAGGTCAGAGCATACTGACCGGAACGTCGAGTTTATACCTCTGGTTCTTTTCAGAACCATTCTCTTAGTTGATAAATTATTCGCACATGGAGTTTCCGCAAACCTTTGATTATTTAGTATCTCCGCCATGCAAAGCCTCAAATCTTACTTATGTTAAATAAGCTGAGTTTTAAAACAAGGCTAGCACGTACCCATAAAAGGGAGCTGTCGTTTTCCTCGTACGCACACGAGGTAGACCAGGAGGCCAAGTGCAAGTAACACGAATGCGTATAGGTACTCTAGCTTGGGATCGGAGATGACTGGTGCCAGAACCATAAAGATAGAGGCAATGATTGCAAGGATGGGAATCAGACTGTTGACCTGCATGTACAAAAGATAGAAGATATGGAACCAGACTGTTAACCGGAATGTTAAGTAGGTTGGGAACAAGACTACAAAACTGTTTATATAGCCCGAAGTTATCAATACGATTTAAGGCGACTTTTGATTTATTAATGGCATAAATTGAAAAATAAGCAGCAAGCTTAATTTCCGATATCATCGACAACGTTTTCAATAACACTTTCATCAACACCGTCAAGAATCAATTTTAACAGCCCAAGCTGTTTTTTTTTTTTTTTTTTTGCGTTTGGTCGTTTTCCCCCAAGACCCTGCAGGTTTGCCCTATAAGAAAAGTTTCGTTGCTATAGCTCCATCAAAACAGAAGATTGTTTAATAGGTCGGAGGAATTTATCAATGTGATGAAGATCTGTGTCAAACTTAACATATTATTACTGGACTAACCTTAAAAGGTCTGGGTGTATCTGGATACTTGCGTCGCAGCACAAATACCGCCGCAAAAGCAGCCAGATAGAGAATCCACTGAACGATACCACTGTACACGACGATCGAATTGAAGTCACCCATCATGATCAGTACGACCGCAATGAGTCCCTAGAATTAAAATGTGCAGAAAAACCACACGCTGCCTCATTATCATACACTTTCGCAATTATATCATTGTAAAAGGTACTCAAAGGCTTTAGTGCAGTGCTGGAAGAGTATTTGTAAATCTTCTCACTGGGAAGAAATCCAGATTTTAGATAACATAAATGAGTTTTAAATACAAATGGATAAGGGCTTTCTATATACCCACAATTTTGTCGAGCTGTGATTAATACATTTACCGTAACTGTTTTCAAAAGTATATATTTGGTGGTAGGCCTACATCTTTCTTTAACGGAAATTACGACAAAGTATTTATCTACCTGTAAAAGAATAGCAGGCAGTGGGGTATGATACTTGACACTGACCATAGATAGGATCGATAACATATGGCCTTCTCGTCCTGCAGCAAATGCAATCCTGGTGGTGCAATAATAATGCAAACAAATTAAAAAAACAATGATTGATTACCAAACTAGAAAGCACTCAGAGAGCGCAAATCTCCGCCAAGGCTAAACAATTCCCCGCCACAATCAGTACACTCCAAAAATACTCGCATAAATTAAAAGATATCCTTGATCAAGACCCAAATCTACGGAGCTCTGGAAGTGCCATCCGACTTGTTCAGATACTGACTTATTTTATCTCCGGATGACGACATAATACAGGCAAGAAGACGACATCCTGAAATGATTCATTAGGGGATGGCCACATCCTGAAAGAAGGATGACGACATCTGGAGATAATTTATTATGGGACGACGACATCCTGAAAATATGATGACGACATCCTGATATAATTTATTATGGTAGACAACATCCTAAAATAGGATGACGACATCCTGAGATAAACTATTAGGGGATGACGACATCCTAAAATGAGGAAGACGACATCCTGAGATAGTTTATTAGGGGGTGACGACATCCTGAAAATAGGATGACGCCATCCCGATATAATTTATTATGGCATGACGACATCCTGAAAGTAGGATGACGACATCCTGAGATAATTTGTTATGGGATGACGCTAAACTGGAAGCAAGATGACGACATCATGACATAATTTATCACGAGGTCATTTTAAGCCATCTTGAAAACGCACAGGTGGGCGTGCGGCTTGTATAAAATTTATCATATCGCTGTATATTCATGGTATTTATTTGATGATGAGAGGTCATGTGCGTTTCCAAGATGGATTCAATGCACCTCGTGATATCTCAGGATGTCCTCATCATACTTTCAGGATGTCGTCACATCCTAATAAAGTATCTCGGGATGTCGTCATCCTGTTTTTGGGATGTCGTTCTCCCATAATAAATTATCTTGGGATGTCGTCATTCTATTTTTAGGATGTCGTCATCCCATTATAAATTATCTCAGGATGTCGTCATCCTATTTTCAGGATGTTGTCATCCCATCATAAATTATCTCGGGATGTCATCATGCCAGAAGACATTGTTTTAAGATGTTGTCATCCTATTACCAGGATGTCGTCATGCCATATCAAATTATGACGATATGTCAACATCCTACTTAGAGGATGTCGTCATCCCCCAACAAATTATCTCAGGATGTCGTCATCTTGCCTGTATTTTGTCGTCATCCGGAGATAAAATATGTCAGTATCTGAACAAGTCGGATGGCACTTCCAGAGCTCCGTACAAATCTAATCGATTTGTACTAGTACCAAGAACCTCCCCTTTGATTTCAATAAATAGTACAATAATAGTAAACAATATCCACCATGCAATCAGGGGTCGCTATAGGAGGAGGGGTGTAACATCCCCCACATTATTCGGTTTTGTCGGTAAAATCGTTGTCCCGTCGGCAAAATGTATCGTCCAAGTTAAACAGTGCCCATAATTCAGACATCCCCCACCCACCCACCCACCAAGCGCGCCCTGCATTGGACCATCATTTGCAACTTCAAAATTAGAATAGTCTGGTGCCTGCATGGTCATGCCTTAAATTAATGTTTGTCTTTCTATGCGGTGTCCAGGGTACAGACGGAACCAGTTCGTCCTGGCGTGAGAACGGCAAATACAATCAAAAGGTCATGTACATGATTTTTCTTTTAGTTTGGTAATGTTAAAATCTTATCCGTCCAATATTTAGTATTACACTAAATATGAATATAAATCAAAACGAAAAAGGAGGGGAGTATTTTGGGGAGTATTGGAAGTAATAATTGGCACCGAACGTTAAAACACGTAGACCACCAAGTACAACATATAAATCCATTTATTGCTATTTCTGTTGAAAGCAGCAGAAGACGAACAAATGTGTAGCTAAATGTTTTACCTTGGTCCGGACAAGAAACCTCCCATGAGGGTGCCCGCAGTGGAGATACACACTCCCAACGGGACCAGCCAAGCCATGATTCCTAGAGTTCGCTCCGCAAACGTCTAATCAAAGAACCCAAAAAGAGAACATTTCAAACTTTACTTTATCTGTTACATGCATTAGTAAAGGCATTAGCAATTTATAAAGGACAAGCTGATTTACCCGATCATAGATCGGGTAGGGCGTATTTGTTTTGGGGTTGAAAGTGTGGGGAGTTAAATGTAAATGGGGGATTTAGTTGAGAAGACATGTAGCTATAGAAAAGCAATTTACGGTGACGCGATCTGAGGCAATTTCTGACCACGTACGATAGTAAAACAAAAGATCATCTTTTAAACATCATTTTCGAGTTTGGAGTCATTGAATCAGCTGTTCTGAGCAAAAGAATATTATAGTAGGCTACAATTTTTTTTCGGGGAAGAAAAAGTTTGGGTAGGGAACCAAACGATATTGCCCGCTTTAAAATGTTGGGGTGGGGGTCCCCCGTCCCCCACCGATTGACGCCGCGCCCATGATAATTATGTACCATGGCATGTATAACTGTCTGTAAATTTTCCTGTTGGTCTGTTAAATTGCATTTTGTGAGGCAGTCGCGTTTGTTAATGTGGGAAAACTGAGTTGAAAGACTTGCCATAAAATTACATAGTCTGAATCATGGAGGAAGGTCATTATGAAGGTACAGTATTGGACTCTTCAACAAACGTAAACTTGAACATCTTACAATTTGCGAGACCTGCGAGGAAAAAGTGGATTTAACTATTTTATTCAAGTTGGCATGGTTCAACCATAATATAAGCAAGGCCAAGCAGCCAACAACCGCCAATATTATTATTTATGCACTCTTCGTTATTCCAACCCAACATAGTTCAAAGATCACAATATTTGAAGCAATGCATCGATCCCTTGTTGATTTACCCGATCATAGATCGGGTAGGGCGTAGAGTTGGGGATGAAAATGTGGGGAGATGAATGTAATTGGGGGGTTTATTTGAGAAGACATGCAGTTATAGAAAAGCAATTTCTGTGGTGCGATCTGAGGCAATTTCTGACCACTAAAACAATTTTTTTTTTAGCAAAAGATCTCCTTTTAAACATGATTTTCGAGTTTGGTGTCATTGAATCAGCTTTTCTGAGTAATAGAATCATTATACATGTAGTAGCTACAATGTTTATTTGGGGAAGAAAAGTGGGGGGGGGGGGGGGGGGAGGGGACCAAAAAAGTCTCCACCGCTTTAAAATGGGGGGGGGGTGGGGGGTGGGGGTGGAGGGGTTCCCCGTCCCCCACCGATTGACGCCCATGATAATTATGTACCATGGCAACAGTCTGTAAATGTTCCCGTTGGTCTGTTAAATTGGCATTTTGTGAGGCAGTGGCATTTGTGAGAGAACGTACTTGAAAGGCTTGCCGTAGTACACAGGCGAAGGCTGATTAAGAAGGTCATAATTAAGTTTCAGTATATTGGACTCTTCAACAAACGTAAACTTGAACGTCTTACAATTTGCGAGACTGTCTGCGAGGAACTTGTCGAGTCAACTGTTATTCAACTTGGGTCAACCATCTATATAAGAGCAAATTTTACTCGGCCTCCGAGAAATGTTTGCTCCTGAAACGATCTGAGACTGCGGTCTTTCGCGACGCCAAAATCGCTCCACGTCCGTGGAAAAATGTGGAGGGTGTCTTCCGCCGGATTGGACACATTTTTGTTGATTTTTTGTGTGACTGCGTTTAAGATCGCGATGTTTGAAGCAATGCGTCGATCCTTCGTTGATCCCAGACAGGCCCCCGAAATTATAACGCAACACTGTGGCGGGCAGCGAACTCACAACGCTCAGCCTTGGTGGAAGCATGGAGCTGTATTAACACACGATGGAAGCAACAGAGCTCTATACACGTCACTCACTTGCTTGTGCTTCAAATCATGCAAATAGCGAGCACTGTAGACCCAACCTCGTTTCCAGGGTGTGGAGCAGGCTGCAGTACGCGTTGCCATCGACAGTTTTGCATAGCCCGGAAATACCACGCAGTGTAGACTTTCGATTGGTCAGACCGCGCAAGGCATACTTAATGTGTAGTCCTTCTGAGTATTCGTTGCACTCGGCGCAGGGGCGGCAAGCGAAGCATATGAAAGAACAGGGACACTTGGTGGCCACGCACCATGGACAAAAAATATTTTACCAAGGTCACCCCATACTAACGTTTGGCGAACGCTTTTGCAGAAGGGCCGAGTAGAACACGTAAACGAAACCCCTACGTTGACCTCGCTGACCTCGCACAGTCTAGACACGCAGAAAAGCCAGCACGGGGGGGCGGCCAAGCAGTCAACGTGAAAGCGCACACGGCGGCAAATTCCTGTGCAAAATCCAGTCACGAAAAATCGACGAAACCGATCGCCGGTCCGTACGGGAAAATTAGGACGACCCGAAGCGTTCGACCCGGCGGAAGACACCCTCCGCATTTTCCACGGACGTGGAGCGATTTTGGGGCCGCGGGAGCCCGCGGTCTCGGATCCTTTCAGGAGCAAGCATCGTCTCGGGGGCGAGTAAACTTCTCTCTTATATATATATAGATATACAATAGAAGCACATAGTCAATTTGTCCCCTTTTGGGGGAACGGTGTAATTCATTTTGTTGTTACACAAAACAAAACAAAAATTGAATCCGTCGATTTAAATAAATGGATGTCAATCGAATAATCAGATTTTTCCCCATAAACATTTGCGGATAAACGTTTTTCAAATAAATTTGAAGCTAAAATATGTCATAACATTTATTTACTTTCTCAAATGGACATAGATATCATACCACTGCGACTGCACTGGAAGCAAGCAGCTCATCTGGTGAGAGTACGGTGAAATATGCGATATTAGTCAGCAGGTAAATGGCGGTCACAGTCGGCATTGCAATGGCGATCGACAACGGCAGATTTCTGCAAATGACAAATTAAACATTAACACTCTATGCAATAAGACAATTTCACAATGCCTATAGCCCGAAGAGGCAGGTTTTGCGATCTGCACTACGCCACGGCAGTTCAGCCAACGACCATAATGGAAAGTTATACTGGCTTTTGCTATCAGATCAGACGTCCCGAACTCTGTTCAGTGACAACAAAATGGAGAAGGCGTGTGTCATCATCAAAACATTTAGCTAACTGGAGACATCCCATGCGAAGCTATTGAAAAAGACATACCGACCAAGAATCAGCTTCAGAAGCCAATCAACCAGACAAACTTTGCAGAACGCAGACGCTGTATCCAAGTTAAAGTAGGGAGAAGTTTACTTCAATGGTAAGCGTGGTGCAAGGGCATTAAATGAACTACAGATAGGAGGTAGACTGCACATCAGAACCAAAGGAAAAATTGGTCTTGAGGGAGAGGTTCTTCGCAGAGCCTGCTTTATGCCATAAGCTCATGCACCACACAGGGGCGCATTAAGAAGTTGAAACGCTACAAAGAGCTGGGTGCTAAAGTATATACGGCAAAAGCTGAAGCTTATACTTCCCATTTGAGTCCTAATATTAATCGACGCAGTAGATTGTTGAAGGCTAACACCTTGCTTGCCACGTTCTCATAACGGTCTTTCAAAGTATCGTTAACTATTGCCACGAAAAGTTGTTTTGAATTTACTACAGGACGGTGACCTGTTTAAAGAATGGGCGCAGCAATTCAAACTAGTGGCCTTTGGGTCAGGCTCTGTGAGTGTTACATAATGTTCGGCTAAGAGATATTTAAGCTGTTTATTTATTTAAAGTCATCTCTTGGCAAAAAGGACCCATATGGCGCAAACGAACATTCAACAGCGATATGCAAGGGAACATGAAACACCATGAACAGACAAAAAAAACTTACCTTGCTGGATTCTTTAACTCCTCTGACACATTGTTGAGATTGTCCCTATGTGGGAAAACGCCAACGAAATTAAAACTTATTTATAAGGCCTATATTCTGTGGATCTCTTGAAAGTGTCTGTCAAAACAAACAGTGGTACAGCTGATGATTCATGTGCACAAACTGCCATAAGATTGCAGCTTTGAATGGACACATGAAAACGGCGGATACCTAAGTGGCCAAACCATAGGCGTAGCCAGCTGGAGGGGGGGGGGTATTTACCCACCCCAATATTTTGTAAAGACTGCCCTTTTCCATTCAAATGCCCTTTTTAACCAGCGCTTCCCTCCCCCCCCCCAAATATTTTATAAAGAGTGTCCTTTTTTTGAAGAAGTGTCTTTTTTTTCTTTCTAAAAACAAGTGCCCATCTTAAAAAGAAGTCATGCCCTTTTTGTCGTGCCTTTTTTGTGTCATCTGCCGTTACGGGTGTTTTTTTTTTTAATTTGACGCAAGTATCGTCCTGAAAAGCAGCATATATTGTCCGTTATTGTACATAATCGTCGGTTTTGAACAGCGCCCCCATCGACAGATGGTACCAGGCCCTCCCCCAAGTTCTTTCATACCTGTACTTACCAACCAGTGTATGGCCAGAAACCGTAGTACAGTGCCGTACCGTAACCTAGGATCTGAGTGGTAGATCCTTGGAATGATACTTCTGGGTTCAGATACTCTGTCCGCCCTGAAAATATTCCCCCAAAAACGAATTTCACTAACAAATAAGCTTCGTGCTCAAAAGGGCACTTTTATAAAATGAATAGAAACAAAGAATTGATTTTCGAACAAGACACTCCAGCCTTATAGCTAGGTTCATTTGCGTCGCGACGAAAACACCACAATGGTAAATTAAGCTTTTTTGGGTCAAATTTAAGGATAGAAAAATGTTATCATCAAAGCTGACACCAGGGTCAGTAATAAAAAATAAGCTGAAGAAAAAATCATACCTTTAAATAGTTGCACAATGCCTGCAGCAATAATTATCAGCAAAGCTGCGACTTTGGAAATAGTCAAAATGACGACTACTCCACTGGAATAACGAACGCTGACACAGTTGACGAACATCATGATCACTGTTGAGGGGATCCAAAAGAACAGGTAAAAGTTTATAAGCGATATTTACGTGCTCTGATTGACAGATATTTTATCGCATAACCGGATGAAAAGTTGATAAAATGTAATAGTACTATAGTGTGAACTATTAAGTGAGTTCTTGTCTCCAAAACACAAAAAAGAGAGACGCAGGCACATGCAGTACTTCCAACCCTAAGAACAATACTGTTTTATTCCTCAGCCTGAACAAAACTAAACAAAAGAAACCCACTTAAGCAATCAATTTACATAACCTTTTTAAGGGCTCGCGCTATCAAATAGGATATACTAATTAAGTATGTCTTAAAAGAGCATGTTCATTTGAAAAAAAATACTGAAATTGACCCATGCTATCAGAAGTTATATACACGAAGCTATTGTGATGGGTGAGAATTACAGATTACACACAGTTAAGGCATTCAAATACAAATGAGGTTTTAGTCATTTTGAGTCAAGAATGAAAGTTACTTTTACTGACAGACTTTGTGTTTTGAATATGAGGAGCAAGTCAACGCTTTTTTTTTTATATTGATGGCGATTGTTGTCTGTTCTCCTTTTGAAGTTTTCGTTCATTCATTGAGGTGGGGAAACGTCCACGTTTCATTGTATTTCATGGGTATTCATCAGCTCGTAGAACGGTAAATGATGGTGGACAGCTGCATTGTGTGATCTCTTTTTCAAAAAAAACTTTGGAATAGAGTATGCAAATTACATGAAATTTTCACAGTTATATACAAGTCAACAACATTTCCTATGTTCTTTTTACACAATGGATCGAGCCACATATTTTTTTAAAAAATATTTTCATAATTCAGTTTTTTGCTTTTTGACTCACCTGTATACCAGCGATATCGCCTGCCGATAATATGAACAAAAATGTGTTTAGCGTACATATTTAATTGGGTTTGATTAACCCAAAATTCTCTTTTCTTTACGTTCAAAAGTCAAAACAGCAACAGGAATAATGTATGTTGTTTAGACAGAGAAAATAACCAAGGAATCAGAAGAATGGTCATGTGTGGCTGCTATGAGCTTTGTAATTTAACCATTGACTGGTTAAAGTATTGACAACGAATACCTAATATCCAGAACAAAATAACCAAAAATGACTATTATACTCACTGACTGAGAGGATAGCGAAGAGCTGGATAGCTTCGTTTGGAGGTGCGCAGTCACCAGGGATGACGTAATCGGATATATAGGTACCAAGAGTGATAGAAACCAGGGCAGCGCTAGCTGGCTTCAGGATAACTACGTTAGCCCAAGACACCACAAATCCAGCTAGGTCACCGTAGGCGTGCAAGATGTACTGATAACTACCGCCAGCTCGAGGGAGGACTGTTCCCAGCTCAACGTAGCACAAGGCACCTTGTATCGGAGGAAATATCAGATAGTGTGGTATACTTAACATCTTACAATACAAAGAAGTATGTACATGATCGAGATTGATGCGAGAACAAACTGTAATTGTTGAGGTGAACAGAAACACATAGGTTCGGATTTCGCAGAGGCGCAGGCATGGGCGTCGCTAGGATGGGGCAAGAGGGGCTGGAAAATCCCCCCACACACACACACACACACACCCACATACTTGTTTCACATGACTAGTGTGGACTTTCCATTGCTTTCGTGTAGTTAAGAAAAACCAGTGAAAAAACTCATTTTTCTCAAACTGTGAAAACTCTTTCAACCCAATTTTTTTTCTATGATTCCCTTTAGTGTTTCTCTTCATTCTGCTACAGATAAACCTAACCCAAAAATGCCTCTAAACCTGTTTTCCAGAAATGGGGAAACACTGTGTGGACGTGGGGCAAGTCCACACAACGTCGGTGCTACCTACATTATGTGGACGTCTTTTGTTCGGAAGTCCACACTGCGTATGTAAGACAAACTCACACACACACACCAAAAAAAGAGGGGAAAAGAGAAAGGAAAAAGAATAGGAGAGATTCCAAAGGACCCCGGTTTTTTTTTTATATTAATAAATTATAAGCGTTTATGAACAGCGCCTCAAAGCATTGAATCATGTCCCGTCAACCCCTGTCAACCACCCCCCCCCCGCATTTTTCCGCAGCCTGCAACTGTTTCAATGTGTGACAAAAATGCCCCCAAATCCCACTTTTTACTCATGTGTTATTACTCTAAATTTTACCTTTATCCTTCTACAGATCAGGCATTTTCGTCTAGTAAATTCCTAGGTTTGTTTAGGTATTATTTCAAAAGTAGGTTTGAGTATTTTTCTGCCGAAATTCTGTGTGCACTCACGTGTTTGTTTACACAATCATGTCAGCTGAGCTACAAATAGCGCGATGGTAAAATCCAACATGGCTGCCATTTGAGCGGCGGCTAAAACGTTTGTGATTGGCTGAAAGTTCTAAAATTATTTCTAGAAAAAAGTAATTCATATTATTAAAAGTTTGTATAAATATTTATCTAGCTTCTTTGGATGTAAAGTTGTCTAATTTGAAGCAACTTTGGAAATTAGGAAAGTTTTGATGACTTCTCTGTAACATTTCGTCTGGTAAGTCAGTGACTGACTAATGAATATTCATATCTGTGACATCACTGTATGTTTGTCAATGAATTTAGGGTTTGTTTACATTCATTCACAGCCCGTAAAATTGAGCATTTTGTGGGTTCTGTATAATTTATTCACATTTTTAGAGCAGTGTTATTGTAAGGAATGTCTTGAGGATTGATTTAAGCCTTTTTGTGTAAGGCCAAAAAAAAAGTCTCCGGTTTCTGGTATGGAGCTTGCCCAAAAAGTGATGCGGCGAAGCGGCATTTTTTTTTTTTTACCTGACTTTTTTGCTTCAAATGTGTGCTGATGACTGCAAATGGTGTCCGACTAAACTTAATGCAAATATATGGGAGTCAAGAGAGGCCACATAAGCTTATTCTCGACCATAACTCAATCTAAAAACACGTTAAAATTGTGCAGCAGCAGTATTCCAGTCAAACCAGTGAGTTTGGCGGTTTTGGGACATCATCTTTCATTAAAAAAAAAACGTTTTCATTTTGCCGACGCGCATGGCTACGGCGACGCGCGCGCATACCAGAAACCGGAGACTTTTTTTTCTGGCCTAATATTTTGCTGTATAATTTTGGACAAATTTAGGGGAAACTATCGCTATGTGAATTCACTATACTGTGACTTTTACAAATATGGGCGTGGCATATTTACTAGCGCGTACTTTTGACTTTCGCGCTTGGCGCGTAGCCCATAGGGTATAAATAGTGCTTTGGCCAGTTTGGGGAGCGGAGATACTTAGAGAGTAAGTCATCTTTACAACTGGAGTTGGGGGAGCCAACTTGATTAAATCGGGGAGCTGAGCTGAGCTGGGGAGCAAAGTTTGGGGGAGCAAAGTTTAGGGGAGCCAAGTTTTGGGGAGCCAATTTTTTGGGAGCCAACTTTTGGGGAGCAAAACTTTGGGGAGCCGGAGTCGGAGAGCGGATATCTAGACAGTTAGTAACGATACTTTGTTCAATTTGTGTGACTCGCCCCCTCCCCCTCCACCTTCGGTGTACTGAGGATTCGTACAACCTAGTTTACTTTAGTGCACTGATTATAAGTCAAAGGAATAGACTGGGTTGTAAATAGAAAATCCCTGGATTGTAAGAAACAATTCACTTGCTGTAAATATTAGTGTAATATAACTTTGCTCTATTTATTGTTCTGAAATTGTTGCGGACTAGGATTTAATAATCCTCCGAGTTTTGTTTTGAATTTCTGGATTCCTGTCTGTATTTATTTAAGTCCTCCTCCCCGCTTCGTCATAAATTTTGACCCGGATCTACGTCAGCTATCGAGAATTACTAAACCGGAGAGGCGAAAGAGACGAAACTCCGGAGGTTTAGGCCTTAACTATTTCGCTTGGTGGCAGCGCTATCTAGGATTATTTCCCCCGTCCCAAAAGATAATTTGTTATATCTTAGACATCCGAGGACAGGTGCGCGTCTACTCATCGCAGTAGTTCCTCGGTCCATATTTCCCTCCCCCCGCCCCTTCGCTGTATTTTCGTCACAAATGCTTCTGACGAATGATTTTCCCACCTCTTAAAAAAAATCCGGCGACGCCTATGCGCAAAGGATGAACATGATTTTAACTTCGCCAAATTGTGTGTAAACGTTTCGAGGCGTGTATATTAATTTCATTATGTATTATTGAATGGGAGATATGCAAATGACTAATGGCAACACTGTGCAGTCACGATCACGCCATAAAAAAAAAAAAACAGAATGGAAGTGTAAACAAAGAGTGAAAGTTATGCGCATCTGAACACATTTGCTATGGAAAGTGCGCAAAATAAATAAATGATTATTATCATTACTCTTAAAATGATCAAACCCTCACCCAGAAAAGACACAACAGCACATACAATCCAGATGATAAGACTCATTCCTACGCTGTTGGCTCCTCGTAAGATCCCCTGTGGTGAGATGAAGATCCCTGAACCAATCATTCCACTGCCGATGATTGCTACCGCTCGGATCAAGCCCATCTCCCTTTTCAAGTGGACAGTTCCTGCGACTTGCTCATCTTTACTCACTGATTCTGATGACGGCAGTCGTTCAAGAGGAGCGGTAATTTTCCCCTTCGTGTTCCTCCGGCCCTATGCATAGATCCATTGAAAAGATTACAAATAGTTCGTTAGGTTAGGAAATCATGTTAATCAAGGTTGTTTTTTCAAAGAAACTACATAACTGACTAGGTGCCTGCATTATCATTATTTTAAGGTGAACACGGAAACTGAGCCATTTGTTGGCGGTTCCTCATTTTGTCCATGTATTTGTTCAAGGAGCGTTATTCAAAAGCCATGGCTTCTGAATAGGGCCATTCATGACATCATGACATTCACGGCATCATTCTCAGCAAACTTCCGTCCTTCCAGCTAAGCCCTTCTCCGACCAGATAGACCTTGCCTGCCTTGATATGATAAGAAAATCAATAACACCCATTTCACAATACTACGCGCGCAATGAGCAGACTTTTCCTAGATCATCAACCTAATCATACATTCAAGGTGATACCCTTCTCAGTCAGCTCCTCCGTCCATTATTCTCACACGAATCTTCCCAAATCGGCCAATAGGGTATCGTCGTGCCATTATACTATAGCTCACCATTTACCAGCGAGCTTTCCAAAGACAAAATTTAATTAATCTGAGCCAAGGACCCCTCTATAATGTTGAGTTCAAAGTTCTTTCACTCGGCATGAGCTTTGCACTGGCCCTCGGTCCGACCCCGTTTAGGCCATCGAACCAGCCCCCCCCCCCCTCCCGCCACCTTAACAAGATTATTTACCACCGATAATTACAGATGCATACAGATGCATTTTAACTAAGTTATCAAGAAAAACAAGCCCCCAAACAACGGCATCTCCAATGAAAAACACTAGGTCCCACGCAACGAACGCCAAGATCGCCACCATCATCATGGACAAGAGCGACTACGACCATCTCCGTAAGATTCATCTTCTTGAGTGAACTTCTTGCTCTCCACCATTCCAGTGACACCCCTATAGTCCATGGGCTGGGAGGGCCCCCCTGCATCCCCCACCCCCAGATCCTCCGCGAGTGGTATCATTTTGTTTGGATTACCTGTCTGAATGAGATTTTACATGTTACAAAGGAAAAACTGTTGGGATGTTTTCGCCTGGAGGCCATTTTGAAAAATGGCCGCCACGCAAATCTACTTTTACCTATATCTTGGTCTATGAGAGCCGTAGAGGCATGATTCTGGTGTCTATACCCATGTTTTTTGGGCCAAGAAATCCAATAAGAATAGTGGTAACACCAGTGGATCGTTTGGTAGTGGTTTGCCATCTTGAATTTCAAAATGGCCGCCAAAATTGCAAAATAGCCGCCAAAATTTCGAAATGGCCGCCAAGCATTTTTTTTTCTGCCCATACCCTGGGATCCGATATCTGTAGGTGACTGTATATCCATAATTTCTGTGTCAAGGACTCCAATAAGAACAGTTATATTAAAAAGCCACTTGTTTTTGGCAGCCATATTGAATTTTATAATGGCCATCATTGCTATTAAAACGACCAACGACCAACGACCAACTGTTATTTCATTGTACGGAAAGATGTGCACACACCATAAAGATACAGCTCTATGGCGCACACTTTTACACTGTTACAAAATAATAAGGCTCCCAAACAAAACTGTTTAATCCTGTGGCCAATACTACAGAGGGTGCTATTCAGGGGACAATTAGTTCAGTCGTCATCATTATGGCCTGTCCCGTCGTAAACGACGATGGAGATGGCGACTCTCACAGTCATCTATGTACAGCTGCATTCAGGTAGAGCAACCATTGTAAACAACAGAGCGCCAATGGGAACAGTTGCCGGCAGTTGACTCCCAAGTAGTGTTTGATATCCCAAAAGCGGCGAGATCACATTTCAGGACATTCTTTGTATCGCAGTCTGGGTCGGCCGCTAGGGTGAGGAGCATTGGCAAGTTTGCCATAGAGGATGTCCATAGGGATTCGGCCATCGACCTGCCTGTGCACGTGACCGGCCCAGTGAAGGCGGCGCTGACTCAGGAGGGTGAACGTGTCTGTAGCTCCGTTGAGCCGCAGGATGGAAGCATTTAGGACGTGGTCATACCAGGAGACACCCAGGATCGAGCGCAGGCATCGGAAGTGGAAGGAGTTGAGGCGACGCTATTGGCGGTGGTACATGGTCCATGACTCACTACATTACAGCAGGATAGTACACAGGCCACGTAGATGCAGATCTTCAACTTGATGGAGAGATTTCTGTTGCTTCAAACACGGTGACGAAGTCGGCCGAATGTGGTTGCTGTCTTGCCAATGCGGGAGTCCATTTGAGCATCAAGGGAGTTGGTGATGGTAGAACCAAGGTATTTGAACTCATCGACCACGCTCAGAGTTGTCCCATTGATGGAGATGTCGGGAGGAAATAGAGAATCCTGCGAGAGAGCAACTGTCTTACCCTGGCTGATCTTCATGCTAAACCCCGAACAAGCTTTGGCCAAGGAACTGCACAGGAATTGGAGATCAGTTTCACTGTGTTCGACAATAGCAGCATCATCTGCGTACAGGAGTTCACGAATTGGGACCCGTCTGACTTTAGTACTGGCACCGAGACGAGAGAGGTTGAGTAGCTTTCCTGAGTTGCGAGTGTGGAGCAATACGCCAGAGGGATGAGGAAAGTCATGATGGAGGAGGGCCGATAAGAAGATCCCAAACAGGGCGGGAGCTAGCACTCAACCCTGTTTGACGCCACAATGGATTGGGAAGTTCCTAGATTTAGAGCTGTTGAATTGGACCGTGGCTTGCATGTCGTCGTGAAATCCCATGAGCATGGACAGTGGCTTGTCTGGGCAATCCAGGCGCTTCAAGATTGAGAACAGGCTTGAACGACTGAGTAAAAAAGCCTTCATCAAGTCGATAAAGGCGACATAAAGCAAGGGCTGTTGCTCAATACATTTTTCCTGTAGCTGTCTAAGAGAAATCACCAGTCCATAGAAGAATGAGATGTGCGAAACCCACACTGGCTCTCAGGGAGAATTCTGTTGGCGATGACCTGCAACCTGGGAAGTAGCACAGGGGTGCGGACCTTGCCGGCTATGCTCAGTAGAGCAATACATCTGTAGCTGTTACAATCTTGCCTGTTACCTTTGTTTTTGTAGAGAGTGATTATATTCGTATCTTGTAGGTCTTGTGGGAGACAGTGCGAGTGCCAGTAGACCAGAAACACATTGAAGAGCTCAACACCGCCACATTTCAGAACTTCAGGAGGGATGCCATCTGCATCAGGGGACTGGTTTTTAAGACTGCTGACGGCACGTTTCACTGCACCCAGGGTTATATCACTATCAAGCTCGTACAGGATGGGAAGTTGTGACAGAGCGGTTAATGCATCAGGGCTCACTTCTGCTTCGCTAGCGTACAGAGAGCTGTGCTCTGCCCAACGGTCAAGCTGTGCTGATGGATCGGTGAGGGTAACGCTGACAGCAGTGGAGCACTCTTCTTTGGTGGTCTCTTTAATGCCGTTATACAGGCCAGATCCCCCGAGTCAGCACAATGTTGGATGCGAGCACTAAGACCAGAACAGTAGCGACATAGGACAGTTCCAGTAAGGCGTTGGACATTACTCTTAACAGCACGGAGTGCAGACGACGAGGAGCCCTTTGCTTAGACCTGACACGTGATCTCCTTACCACATGGGTCGAGTCATCTTGATTCCAGTATAAAAAGACGACTTCTTTGAGCAGACCTCCGGAAGCTCCTTGGGCAGTACTGACAACCAGCAAGAAAGCGAAGGTATGGCTGTGATACAAGGATGACACCTTATCATCTTGCAACAAAACACTAAGGGCCTTCAACTGTTCCTTGTTCCTTCTTATGTCTTCGCCATCCGCTCATCCGCAGCCTCCCTAGTCTGTATAGCGTCAAACTGCAGAATGACTCTCCGTATCCCACTGGCTTCAAGAGGATACGCAAACCTGATCAGCGGATGCATCCTGATGCACTCTCCGTGCCATTCCTTGGCCGGACAATTTTCCGTGGTGACTTCAACGCCTGCGTAGGTTCCAATAACCTCTGGAAAAAGGAAACTTTTATTAAAGTTACTCAAGCTGTGCACTGACCATGACTTCACAATCACCAATACCCTATTCCAGATGCCATAAAAGTCGAAACAAAGTCATGGCATTGATGTTTGCATCGTCGCCCGCAGTTCTGGCCGTCATTCGTCAGGATGTGACCATCACAGGCTCTCTGCAGGGCCTACTACTGGACAGACCACCGTCTCATTAGGGCAACCCTACGAATGAAGATCGATACAAGCTTAAAGGATACGAAACAAATCAACTCAATGCCTTACGTTGCAGCGTTGCAGAGTCAATGATGGCTTTGAAGCACACCCGAAATCCACGGCTAGTCTCTTCACACAATGGCAATCCATGTCATCCACCCTCATGACAGCCAACGTCTCGGTACTCGGTCACACCGACAAAAGAAGCCAGGGCTGGTTCGACGAAAAGTTCTCTGAGATTTAAGATCACCTCAAAAGGAAACGTGCCGCCCATGACGCGTGGTCAACAACAATAATTTTTTAGCTACCCTTAGAGCTTAGGCGTACGTAGAAAAGAAAACCAGCGCTTAAAGTACAAGTCCTACGAGAGCCAAGTCCACGCGGTGGCAACGCTATCTACAACTTTTAAAATGTCGTAAAGAGAGTTCAGAGGCTCCAACGTCCCTGTAGACGGGACTACCCTCATATCGACCTCATGTCGACCTTGCGACGACACAGATCAGTTGGCGACTGACTTTTAAAGCCGGCCTCAGGTCGACCCGACGGAACCGTCGGCATCAAGCAGAAAAATAATGCTCAGGTCACAAAACTGAGAAATCGTGTGATTCTCCTTAACAAGCGGCATCCCGACGTAAAATCATCGCAACCAAGCTCATGTCACCCTCGACGCGAAGTTCCACCACGATGGCATAGCAAAGACAGTCATGCGACTTTTATACCAATAAGGGAGTAAATATGTGTTTGGCCGGTTCGGCTCGAGCCATTATCAGCGCGCATACCAGCTTCGATTGGGTTGTCTTCGATTGGGTTGTCCACGGCGAACTCACCAATGGCCGTCGAAAAGTCGTTGGCAAAAACAAGAGATACCACGACTAGCTTCACAATGTACTAAATCGGTGCAACATACCCTCTACTGACTTGGAAACACAAAGCACCCAACTGAGCAGTGTGGAGTACGACCTGCTGTAAGGTGGTCAAGACCTTGGAGACCTAACATGTCAATTAGGCCAGAGGGACAATACAACATCGTCGCTATGACTATCGGGCAATTTGCCCAAAGCCAACCCAACTGGCGATTGAATATCCTTATGAAAAAAATTACCGAGGAGTGTTTCCGGACTTCCGCAAGCAGACAAGCACAGAGCTCCTTTGAAACTTCCTTCTACCTGCAACTAACAATGCCTTAGGGAATGTATCACATATTACCTTGTCCTCAGTAATACCATCTCCTGAGATCTTTCCAGTAGTACGGCCTATCAGGCTCACAATACTTCCATAGATCACCGTCTCGTCCAGCTGACCCCACCTATGCTGTAAATATGTCATACTTTCCCCAACTATGTTACCGGGTGCACGATGTCCCTTCTCTCTCCTGCTGAGTTTACGGCCGGCATGGACGAGGAGTTACTCCTCTCCAATAAGTGATATTCCCACGCTCAGCTCTATGGAAATTGGTAGTGCTTTGACATGGAGGATGGCTGAACAATAACTCAAGTCACTTTAAAGTGAGCTGTCACCGAGTCAACAGAGGAAGAGTTGGATGACCGTGGTGGAGTTGACAAACTTCAGCATGCTAGATCTTATTGCAGAAACGCAACATAGATCAAGTCTCGACAGACCAAAGGGCTAGATGATAGTGATTACATCACTGGCGTTTTCCGTCATGTTGCGCGACACCTGAATGTAACTTTAAAACAAAACCCGCGCCCTAAAGGCACCCAAAACTCTCACGGGCGTCGCCAAACCAATCTCAATGGTCGGATGGGGTGACAATAAACTGCCAACGGACCAACTTTGTGCTCAAAGGTGGCTACGAATTCTTGCGCTGGCCTGGCGCGCCCGAAATCAAAAGAGCGGAGGGGAGATCGAGGGCGGTTGGACATCAGGTGACTAATGAGGGCTCTGTTCAAAACGGACGATACTGGACACTGTTGGACAATATAGGTGGCGCAACTTGTGTTTTTCAGAACCGTATGTATAGACAGTATTGCGATAACTTCAGACTGTTGATTTAATAATGGCCGTTCATTTATAATCGTGTACACAGCAGCGTGCGACTATTCGCTCTTGACACACTTCCGCCATGGGCATGCAGAGCCTCGATCTGGAAACTTTACACAATAAATATAGCCGGTTCAGTGATTCCCGCGGGCGGGGTTCAGATCACTGAACCGGCTATTTTTATTGTGTAAAATTGCCAGATTGGTGCTCTGCACGCCCATCGGAGCGTGAAAAGAGCGAATTGTGTATAGACCTACGGCTTATGTGCACTGATGCATAATCCTCCATTCTGGTTCCCAACAGTGCGACCCTTGTCTCGCAACTCTCACTATTAGCCCCCCCCCCCCCCCCCCCCAAAAAAAAAATATTCGGTCTCTGGTCAGACCAAAGTTCTGGAATTGACGCGGGGACGCGTCTTTTTTTCTTTTCTTTTTGGGCTTTTTTTTTCTTCAAGCTTGGATTGTACAGACAAGGTGGGGTACTATTTTGCCATTTGGTGTCCTCATGTACATTGGTGTCCTCCATAATTTGCCTTGGTGCTCTCGATCATTTGCCTTGGTGCAATTTCTTATTCCTTTGTGCTCTAAGGTAAAAAAAAAATTGAGGAGGTGCGGCAATAGAGGGCGCTGTTGGAGCTGCCGCGGAACATTTTGAAAAAAAAACAGATTGACGCGCATGATTAAAATCGACGCGCGCGCTGACCAGAGACCGACTTTTTTTTTTGGCCTTATAATTATAGTCTTTCGCAAAAGTCCATCGTGGCTTAACAGCCTGAAGTAACATGGGCCGAGAATTTATTTTTTTTATTCCACCGTTTCTGTCTTCACGTCAAGTGTGCATTGCCTCAGTCAAATGTGCGATAATATACTCTTCATTTTATACCTTAGCCCCATAAAAATGCGTCGCAATTTAGCTGGACATCATCAGTACACGTCAATGCTTCGGGAAAATTTGGCATGCATATCCAGTCAGGTTGCTTAAACCCAATGTTTTTCAAGATCGTGACCGACTGTAGACAACTTTTTAAGCAGATGTTAGACAGTTACAAATACGGTCGGAGCCTTTCTTATCCTCCAAGAGTAGCCTACAGTTAAAAGGAATGAATGGGAAGCAGGTACTTTCCCTACTGGTACCCATCAACATATAGTACTAAAAGAATTTTTATGGCCTTAATAATCCCTCCCTATTCAAGAAAATTAGTCTTAACATTAAACTTAGCCGTAAAATTACCTAGTGTAAGAAAGTACCACCCCCCCCCCCTTCATCTAGAAGATCACAGACAAAGGTATATTTTTTGTAGAAGGCCTAAAAAGGTTTATTCATGCTTACCAAAACGATTGACATGAATTGCCCTCGACCTACATATTAAGGTATAATTTTGTACGATTGTTAATATCCCGTCAGGCGTAATAGTAATACAGGCTTTCTGAAATATGCACGTATTCTATGCGGCGCTCCGTTGTATTGTGGCCGCAGGCGATTTTTTTCCCCAAACGAGGTCGGACAATATCGAAAGAGGGCGCTCTCACTGCGGTATGCATATTCGTGAAGTCCAGGGCTTTAGAGAACGAAATGTAACAAGGAATAATGGTGATCGATTAGCAGCTGATTCGTGGACTGGTGAAGTAGTCCTCACGGTAGTCCTGCTAGTCAGGTGGTCTGAGTTCGAATCTCTGTGAGCTTGTTTTCACTTCTTCTCATTTTACCTTTTCAATATAAACTATTTAGTGACGAAAGAACTTTTTGCACAACACGTAGGGCCAAGGGTCTATCTTGAGTTGGTGTTGTGGAGAACAATGCATAAGATATGCATGTAGTGGACCAATCAGAGGATGGGAAACGGATGTCGTTTGGGAAATATGAAGATTCGCCGCCCGCCATGGCACCCAATGTATGGACCATAATACATGACTTTCAACGCGGAGAAAACCTTAAGAATGCACTACCGCAACTAATTCTAATGATTCATTCTCAAACGTTGGCGTAGGAATCGGCAGTAAAGTCTACATTGCAGTATTTGAAGAGGGTTCACACGGCCTATGATGATCACCTTCGTGGGCCTAAGTATTGGAAGAATGCTGTATGTGAATTGCTATTGTATCAAGTTAACGGATGGGCCGAAACCAACTCCCGTACTTCAACTACTTCAAAATGAACTAGAAAAATAACAACTCACTCAAGTTAGCGAACAGCTTGCGCAACGCAATTCCTCAAAAGCAAACACTACCGGTACTTACATTTGCGAAATCCTCTGCCATTTTTTCCGTGACTCTGAATCAACGAACTTCACTCGATGGAAATATATAGGCCTTTTTTATAGAGACTTTTGCAATACATGTACTTATTCCATCAACCCAGGGTTATTGACACAAAAAATACGGGATTTTATATTATATGCAACCGAGCATGAAAAGAATGCTTTTGTGCGAATACAAATAATGGCAAAAAATAGGTATATTCCACCTACAACTCAATTCATCGCTCACAATCTGACTCTGTACGTGCTCCGTAAGACCCCTTTGGGCTATTGAGCCTTCTTTGTAATTGTGCGACCATAAAACGGGCCAGGTCACCAATGGCGGCTCAAAGGAGGCCGAGTGGTTGCCTATAGGTCGTTCAAAGGTGGTACACACTGGATGTTCAGACATCGCCATGGACGCCATGGTCGCCGTAAATTTTTGCACATGTTCAAAACAGTCGCACAAAGGTCACCGAGGAGGTTGGTTGCTTAAAGGTGGCTCAAATGCGACAGAAGGAGGCACAAGCATTGCCGTGGTTGCAGAATGGATGCACAATGGTCGGCCAATGGTCGCCTCGTAATAGATCCATTCTGTTGCAAATTTTACCGTAAATCTGGGCGATATGCTTATGCCTCCTAGCTTTTGCCTCCTTTGGCCGACCAATAACGTGCATTAAACGATGACTTGTGGCGACCATATTGCGCCTCCATTCGGCGAAGGTTGCAGGGGAAGCACAGGGGAGGCAGGCAAGTGGCTCAGTGGATGCACAGGTCGCTCGTAGCTCGACATGAAAATGCCCGAAAATTGCAGTTTTTGGTAGTTCAAGGGAGGCACAAGAATCGCTGGAGCAATTACATAGAAACAAAATTTTCTGGGTTTAGGCTAACCCTAACCCTAACCCCCCTGCCATGATGTGGAGGGATCCCTTTTCAAGATGGCCACTTTTCAAGATGGTTGCTGTTCTTCGGTTGAGAATTTCTCGAAAAGTCAATGGTCAACCCACCAAAAATTTAAAAGAAAATGACAGATGACATGGTGATCTTCATTTTCTCTGCAGCCTAAATACCTGTGAGAGTTCTGAATATTTTTAACAGAATTTTGAAATACGCGTCCATTTATCACTGGTGCCTACAGGGATTTTCTTACTTAAACCGCGCCGTGGTTTGGTCAATCCAAACGGTGACCTGTAAAACACAATCATAATATCGGCATGATTTTACCAAAGAAAACATAGTTTATCTGCTTTGCACGACTAAGTTATCACATTGAGTGCATGGAGCAAGTTTTTACCTTCCTACGTACTGTGCGAGGCGCCCTTCCTCGAAACCTCTGGAGCAAAGATACTAGAGATGGGATGTTTGGACATGTTTTGTAGGATGACCTGTGAAACGCGATGGCGTCATCAAATTGGGGCTATAGATGGGGATGGCAAAAGCGCCGCTTTTTATAGGTTTTCCCGGCCAATTTCGCACAAAATAGCATTCGAATTCATCTTGATAGTGGCCAATTTAAGTTTTCTTGGTTTTTCCAGCATCTACAATCCCAAAACATGAAACAAGTCAGTTTAACAATATTTTATATAACATACTAATCCTCCAAATCCATTTATTTCTGAAAATTGCAGCAAAGCAAATGCTGTACATTCCCTTTAAATCACAGTCATGGTGCTGTGGGTGTATTGCTTGGAAAAGAGTGAGGTGAAGACCTTGGGGTGTAATGTGAAACACCTGTTGTGAGAGTGGCAGTATGTGTGCTCAGGGACATCCAATTGCCCATTCCCACCCCCCCCCCCCGGTCAAAAACTGGCCGGGGATGTATACCCCCCCCCCCTTCCCGGATTAACGCCCCTGCCTCCGACTTCCGTCATTTATAGGGGAAAAAACTACTAACAAGTTAGTATGCACTTCGAATCATTACATTTCCACTGAGCTGCAGAAAATTGCAGCAAAGCAAATGCTGTACATTCCCTTTAAATCACAGTCATGGTGCTGTGGGTGTATTGCTTGGAAAAGAGTGAGGTGAAGACCTTGGGGTGTAATGTGAAACACCTGTTGTGAGAGTGGCAGTATGTGTGCTCAGGGACATCCAATTGCCCATTCCCACCCCCCCCCCCCGGTCAAAGACTGGCCGGGGATGTATACCCCCCCCCCCTTCCCGGATTAACGCCCCTGCCTCCGACTTCCGTCATTTATAAGGGAAAAAACTACTAACAAGTTAGTATGCACTTCGAATCATTACATTTCCACTGAGCTGCAGAAAATTGCAGCAAAGCAAATGCTGTACATTCCCTTTAAATCACAGTCATGGTGCTGTGGGTGTATTGCTTGGAAAAGAGTGAGGTGAAGACCTTGGGGTGTAATGTGAAACACCTGTTGTGAGAGTGGCAGTATGTGTGCTCAGGGACAGTCTAAATCTCGGTCTTACATAAGTACAAAAATCATGCTTGGATTCAACTTCCAACTCTATAAATCAGTGTAATACCGTTGCCAATGATAAATTATAATCACAAGGTTTGTATTTCTAAAGTTGCCCCGAGGTTAAAAGTGAGGTCTCTAAGATTCCCAGGTTCCTAATATTCTTGGTTCTAATATTTTAATCAGGTTCCCCGAACGCCTGGCCAGTGTACGGCTGTGTATTGAACTAGGCCTCCAAATTGCACACTTTGGCAGCAGAAAAGCGCTGATATTCGCGCGTTCACTGCGCTGAGTGCGCGTTTGTATACATTTTTCTGGGCCGTGTGCCAATTGTACGGTGCCTCGTACGTAAGGACATCTCGATCACTACATTATGATTATAGATTCTTATTTTCCTGAAAATGTCAAGGATTTGGTTTTGGCAGAATGTTATTTAGTTGAAAACCAAATTAGGCTATAGTCGGGAAAACAGATGTGACCTTGTGAATGTGAAGAGTCCTTATCCGCAGTTTCACACCCCCGCGGGGCGCGGCTCCGGACGTGGGGATCGCGTATCCGGGCTTCAAGGCGAGCCAGTTGGAATCCTAGTCGCAATCCTATAAATACGGCACACCGGTTGTGGCGCTGGCACAGAACGGCCAAGAAAGTTAAGGGAAGCGACTTGACTGCCGAACAGACGATTTCAAGTTGAGAGAAGCCGACACTTTAGTTGCAATAATTCGACAAGATGAATGCCTGCCATGTCACCGTTGTTGTCGCCATTTCGGCCATCATGATATTCGGTGCAAATGCAGACCGTAAACAGTAAGTTCCGATTAAAGACTTAATTGATTTAAGGCAAAACAAATCAAAACAACTTTTTTGTTTCTGGTATACGCGCACATCGCCGTAGAACTTTTTTTCAATGTAAGATGATGTCTCAAAACCACCAAGCTCACTATAGGTTGACTCGGCTGGAATCCTGCTTCCGCACAATTTCAACGTGTTTTTAGATGGGTTACGTTCGAGTATAGGCTAAATTTATGTTGCCCCTCTGGGCTGCCATATATTTTGCACTAAATTTAGTCGGGCACCATTTTGCAGACGGTATTGTAAATGTTTTAATTGTGCCAGACTGAGGGAGCGATGGTCGTGTATATCTGGAACCTGTAAACGCTTTAAAGTAGCGCAATATGTAAGGAAGCAGACTAATAACCAGCCTGACAGCACATGCGCGATGTCGATGTCACTGTTTGGTCTGACGTTACTGTTTTCTCTGATTTTTGTCTTGACCATCCAAATTTTCCCAAAGAATGTTAGTGTCGGTCGAGATTGTTAATGGTGCAAAATTCTCAAGCCTTATGGCCTTACCGAGGTCATCGCAGGTTCCACCCTGAGGGCTATTTTTGAGAGTTTTGGGGATGGGGGTGAACAAAATCCCCCAAAATGCCGGCCGTGGAAATTCAAAGGGGGAGGGGGGTGGACAACACCAGTACACTGGGGGCGCTGTTCATGATAAATCAGCACATACATCTTTAACAAAATGTATACATGCGCGTACGTGCCTTGGCCTTCAACACATCAAAACGGCGCATTTTATAAAAAACATCTCATTTTTCGATTGATGACATTCTGGTTGAAAAACTCAAAATCCGCATTTTTTTCTCAACACGAAAAAGTGCGAGGGGTGGGAGATCCAATTGCCCATTCCCACCTCCCCCCCCCCCCCCGGTCAAAAACTGGCCGGGGATGTATACCCCCCCCCCCCCTTCCCGGATTAACGCCCCTGCCTCCGACTTCCGTCATTTATAGGGGAAAAAACTACTAACAAGTTAGTATGCACTTCGAATCATTACATTTCCACAGAGCTTTGTATGTTTTGTTTTCCTTTGACGCAGCTGTTTTTGCGATCTTCGATGGAGCACAACCGAGCTAAGAGCAGGGGAAAGCGCCAATGGTTTATCGGTCTTGCAGGACCTACATAACCCGAGCTACCACCACTGGCTGAGCGTGGGCTGCAGACGGGTCCTTCGAAACTGCCCCAACGACTGCCTGAATAAGGCCCATGACTGGATGGGCGGGGCTATGTTCACCGACGGGGCGGGCCAGCTGGCCTGCGAGAGCGTGCGGAGGAACGCGCCTCCAGGTAGTCCGATCTACGTGTACGCAACGTACGACCCCAGCGTGTGCGGCGATCGCACGTGGCAGTATGTGGCCCCGCTCTGCTGCTGGGAGATCGCGTTCCCTGGCTACGACAGCATCTTTCTGTACAACCACAGATGTGAGGATCCATGTCCACCGACTAACCCAGGATGCTGAGTTGTTTTTAGTTACTACCATACACATGATGGTTGGTGCCATGATGCTGACTAGCGAAGCTTCAACTTCATGTGAACTCATTCACATATTGCATAGCGCTGACGCTGTAACATTGCTATTGCGAAACAATAAATTGTTGCAAATTTAATTTTCAGATATAAGTCATAGTACCAAACTACTTCAATGAACGGTATTTTGGAAGTTGTAGTACTCAGAACATAATTTGTTACACCCCCTAAGTCGCTTGAACTCTGTCCCGTTAAAATTTAGAAAACAGTAGTCATAATTACCGATTTTTTTATTGATTGACTTAACGTGCAGTAAACGTAATAAATGAACATTGTGAGGCTATTTTCGTTTTTAAAACACATCTCCTGCTTGTTCTTTATCCTGGTTGGCTGAAACGCGGTCACGTGTGATTCACTAATAATGGCTAGTGTGTGAAACTAGACGCGCATCGAGACATCGCGCGCGCGTAATTTCCAGAGTATATAGCAACTATACAGAGAAAAAGAAACACAAATCAAATAGCGTAATAGACCTTATACGTACAACGGCCATCTTACAAGGTACTTTTTTTTGTTATTTTAATTCGGTAACAATGAATGTACTAAAGTTCAGGCGTGCATAATCCCAACAAACCAAAGGTTCTTCCCCAACACATGTAATTGGTCAATTTGTACCCGATGTAACGAATGGAGTAACTACATACCAATGCTTTGAAAATAACATTGCCCAGCAATGTTGTACCAATCTCTTTGTAAAGTGTTAAATCTACAAAGAGTTGGAGAGAGAATACAACTTTTGCCCTGATGCAATGCACTTGACGTGTTTTTATAGCCTTTCGTATTTGCATTTATAGTGAAAGCGAGGGAATGAAGTACTCGTGCGTGCAGTCATTTGATCCAAAACTCTTCGTTTTTGCCATTATGTTTACACTTGTATTTTTTCAAATTATCTTGTTTTACCATACAGCACAACCCTCCTCGAGAATTGTCAGGATAGGCCTATACTTTCATAGAAAAAAATAATTGGATAATTATCAGGGCATGTATTTGTCTTTGCGATGGGTTGGTGGACCGATTTCTACAAGTTATGTTTTCAAAAATGTGTGGGTAGGTGATCGGCCCAAGTACCACTTCTTGCAAAATTAAACACGCTTGTCCTGAAACAACAACCAAATTTAGAAACCTTATGTCGACAATTGGTGAAAGAGCACTTGTTGCTGGTTTCCACAAACGCCTATTGGTTTTCAAATGAAATATAGCAAGCAAGCCACATTCACTTTTTATTGTGAACGTCTGGGTACCAAACTCTAGTTGCAGACTCCCGCGTTAGAATTTTCCATTTTTGTTATTAGTGTGTTCGATTGAAGTCAACATTTTTAATTTTACTTTAGTTATCAATTGTCAAATATTTTCAATATAAATTGTCACGTATTCTTTTCTTTCGAAATACCTACACTATAAAAAATAATGGGTAAAACACTGTTGGGCAATATGATTAACCCAACATTGGTTTGAAATTACCCAATTTGGGTAAAAGTTCTCCAACAAATTGGAAGAATTTGCCCAAGAGTTTAACCTGTCGATAGGTTGACCAACGTTGGTCTACATATCAACCCATTTTGCCCAACGTGTTTACAGTGTACTTATTGCTCTTGATTAGATGGGTCAAGTCGGATTAGATGTGCCAAGTCGGAATAAAAATAAATGCAAAAAGGAAATAGGGCATTTTTACACACGTTGTCCGGATGTACTATAATTACCATAAAATATCGCAGGTTTCTTAGGTCAACTTTCCCGCTCTATAGAAAAGGCATTTTTATTTATCACAATTTAATACAAATGTCAGGTTGATAAAAAAGATCTGTTTTTCCCTTCTGATTACCAATGTGTGAGATTCTGCTGAAGACCCATAACTCAAGAGTAGATAAAAATGGCGGCAGATAGGTCGCCTTGAACTTTTAATTGATAACGCTATGTCCCGCAAGTCTTAAAACTGGAGGCAGTGATTAGAACGAATCCCATTTTCCTGCAAAAAAAATCATTGCACACTTTGGCAGCAGAAAAGCGCTGATATTCGCGCGTTCACTGTGCTGAGTGCGCGTTTGTATACATTTTTTCTGGGCAGTGTGCCAATTGTATGGTGCCTCGTAAAGACGTCTCACTACACTCTAAAAATAACTTAGTCAAAATATTGACTGGTTTTCCTAGTAATTGAAAATTGACTAGGAATTTAGTTAAACATCCAAAGTTTCATACTTTGACTGGAAAAAATAGTTGGGTTCGACTCCAATTTCAGTTACTTGCATAACTATTTTTCCAAAGTCAATAATAGCGACTGGAAAAATCTAGTCAGATTGACTGATTTTCAGTTGCACCCAGCTGACCCTGAATGGCTAGTCAAATTTGACTGGTTTCTAGTCAAATCTGACTAATGCTTTTTTAGAGTGTACATTATGATTATAGATTCTTATTTTCCTGAAAATTTCAAGGATTTGGTTTTGGAAGAATTTTATTTAGTTGAAAACCAAATTAGGCTTTAGTCGGAAAACGGATGTGACCTTGTGAAAGTGAAGAGTCCTTATCTGCAGTTTCACAACCCCGCGGGGCGCAGCGCCGGACCCTAGGGATCGCGTATCCGGGACCGGGCTTCAAGGTGAGCTAGTTGATTGGATGGAATCCTAGTTCAGTGCAATCCCATAAATACGTCACACTGGTCGTAGAGCTGGCACAGAACAGCCAAGAAAGTGAAGGGAAACCGAAGAGACGATTTCAAGTTGAGAGAAGCCGACAATTTGCAATAATTCGACAAGATGAATGCCTGCAGTGCCATCGTTGTTGTCGCCATTTCGGCCATCATGATCCTCGGTGCAAATGCAGACCGTAAACAGTAACTTCCGCTTAAAGACTTACTTTAAGGCAAAAAAACCCCAAAATCTCCTGTTTCTGGTACACGCGCACATCGCCGTAGCCATGCGCGTTGGCAAAATGATGTCTCAAAACCGCCCCCCCCCAAAAAAAAAAAAAACTCACTATAGATTGACTGGAATCCTGCTGCTGCACAATTTCAACGTGTTCTTAGATGGGGTTACGTTCGATTATAAGCTAAATTTATGTGGCCCCTCTAACACTACAGCGTTACTTTAGGCCTATTCGTACGTACTGCATGTGTTTCAAACAGGTGAACTGACACGAAAAAAAACAAACATTTTGCACAAATATAATGTTTACACTATTAGGGAAACTTAGTCAAATAGTTATCACAGATAACAAGGAAAACGTTAAAACAGATTGTAAAATGTAAATTCAGGTGAAAAGGGATCTTATCTATACGACGCCTTGACAGCTCGACAAGGCACGCAATAGGATGCACGCTAAGCGCGGACACTATTTGCAAGCTTCCGTAACAATGTGACGTCATGGACGCATGACCAATCAGATCGCATTATGCTAATTAGCAGACACTATTTGGCACCGGACGGTTTTTGGCACGACGCCGGGTTTCAAGGTGAGCCAGTTGGAATCCTAGTAGCAATCCTATAAATACGGCACACCGGTTGTGGAGCTGGCACAGAACGGCCAAGAAAGTTAAGGGAAGCGACTTGACTGCCGAACAGACGATTTCAAGTTGAGAGAAGCCAACACTTTAGTTGAAATAATTCGACAAGATGAATGCCTGCCATGTCACCGTTGTTGTCGCCATTTCGGCCATCATGATCCTCGGTGCAAATGCAGACCGTAAACAGTAAGTTCCGATTAAAGACTTAATTAAGGCAAGACAAAACAAAACAAATCTCATGTTTCTGGTACACGCGCACATCGCCGTGGCCATGTGCGTTGTCAAAATTAAAAAAAAAAATTCAATGTAAGATGATGTCTCAAAACCACCAAGCTCACTATAGGTTGACTGAAATCCTGCTGCCACACCATTTCAACGTGTTTTTAGATGGGGTTACGTTCGAGTATAGGCTAAATTTATGTGGCCCCTTTGGGCTGCCATATATTTTTCACTAAATTTAGTCGGGCTCCATTTTGCAGACGGTATTGTAAATTTTGTAATAATTGTGCGTCTCTGGAAGCCGGACTGAGGGAGCGATGGTCGTGTATCTGGAACCTGTAAACGTTTTTTAAGTAGCGCAGTATGTAAGGGAGCAGACCGATGACCAGCCTGGCAGCACATGCACGATGTCGATGTCACTGTTTGGTCTGGCGTTACCGTTTTCTCTGATATTTTGTCTTGACTATCCAAATTTCTCGAAGAATGTTCGCGTCCGGCGGGTCGAGACCGTTAGTGGGTGCAGTATTCGCAAGCCTTATGGCCTTACCGGGGTCATCGCAAGTTCCACCCTGAGGGTTATTTTTGAGAGTTTGGGGGGATGGGGGTGACCAAAATCCCCCAAAATGCCAGCCGTGGAAATTCATTCAAAGGGGGAGGGAGGGGGGGCGTGGACAACACCATTACACTAGGGGCGTTGTTCATGATACAGCACAAGTCATACATCTTTAACAAATGTATACATGCGCGTACGCGCCTTAAACATCAACGCATCAAAACGGCGCATTTAATTAGAAACATCTCATTTTTCGATTGATGGCATTCTGGTTGATGGAACCGGGGAGAGTGAAATGTATTAGTTTTAAAATGTGGCACTCTCCTTACAACCGAGTGGTTCCACTAAAAAATGATTTGGGTAGAACGAAGTTTTCTGTTGTCTCAATAATATGAAATGTTTTATTTATAGTACAAATATGAGACAATATATATACAAATTATTAGGTATTTACAAAAGAATTACAGTATATATATGAACTTTGGGTATATCAAACGACTTTGTAGGGTGTATAAAAACGAAACTTTGTAGGGTGTATAAAAACGAAACTTTGTTGAGTCTATAAAAACGAAACTTTGTTGGGTCTATAAAAACGAAACTTTGTTGGGTCTTTAAAAACGACAGTCAAAAAAAGGGAAATAGGCTAATGAAGTCGCTCCAAAGATGGTATCTGAAATGCATAAAAACAACAAATGACTAATGAATTATGGGAATTAATGTGGCATAAAATGACTGTTGCCCAAACAGAAGAATTATTTAAATGGCCATTATGCAATAATATGAATATTTTATATACATGTAGTGTAATTTTAAATCCGAAAATAGAAATGAATTATTCACCAAATTATGTTATAAATTGAAATAAGAATATAATACCATGCCCTAATAACGAATTCCCGAATGATCATAGCACTAGAAAACTGTTAGTTTTGGGAAAATGGGAAAGTCTATTTCAAATGATAAATGTGAACATAAATATTATAGCAACACTAAAATTTCAGTTGAAGTTAGCGTACTCGTGTTGCTCAGAAGTTCCAATTTGTGTTTGTTTCAAAAGGAAAAATTGAAGTTCACAAAAATAAAGTACCTGATAACGGTGTTTACCCGAAATGTTCAAAGTATAAAATATAGTCACCAGAAAATCCTTAATGCCATCTCATGCAAGAATTAAATAGAGAATCATTAGGGAAAAACTAATTCTCAAAAATACTTGCAAATCACGACAACAGATTGATTTCAAAAGTTAATCAGTCGTGATTACAAGACAAATTTCCGGCCGTGTCCGTTTTGACGGCCTTAATTTCTGGCAATAAACAAAGCATACAAAAGACCAGAATGTTGCATAAATGATGGCATAAAATGATTCAGGCATAAAAAGGTTTTAGGCATAAAAATGTTTTAGGCATAAAAAAGTTAAATATCAGACAAGGGATTTACTCACCACTTGGGATGGTCTACGCTCATGCCTACTCCGTGTCCAATGTTAAAATCGATGTAGAAGCAGCAACAATGGGCGAAAATAGTGCAGAAAACTGCAGTTCCGGTGTGGACGGTAATTCTGTCCCCCGGTAAAAGTGTCCGGGGGGACAGAATTACCTAGGTAAAAGAGTCCCCCCTGTCCCGTTAATTGTGTCCCCCTCCAGGTAATTCTGTCCCCTCCAGTTAATTCTGTCCCCCCTGGTTTTGCACGCATAAGTTGTTATATTGATGTTATTATAATAAATTCAGCGCACAGGTATACATTTTTAGATTTTTCCACCCTTCATCAATAATTATCAAAATGAAATTAACGTTTAAATGTTAATCAACCGATCTATGTTTCTGCAAGAAGGCACGCGTTCGCGTAGTAATACTCAACCTATCGCTATTGCGCACGCGCATCAGCCGCCGATACACGTGTGACTGTCATGGCGGACTTCAATGAGGAGAATTGGCAAAATTATACGCGACACGGGTCACCGCGCCGCAGGCCTGCTGCTGGTGCAATGTTGTCCCCGTCCCCGGCCGCGGCCCGTAGGTGCGGTATCGCGCGCATGCCCACCATGCAAATCGTTCGCTCCCGAACTGAGTCGTCATCAAAACGGGAGTTGTGCTTTGACGTAAGCACCATTCCCGAATTTAGCAAGGCGCCGCGCAAAAACAGTTAATAACTTCACTAATATACAGTCTGGGTGCTAGACTTGTGACGTTGCACGGGGACACATTTACCAGGGGGGACACATTTAACGTCGTGCAGGGGGACAGATTTACCTAGAGGGGGACAGGTTTACCTAGGTAAAAGTGTCCCCCGGACAGATTTACCGGGTCACGACCCGGTAGATCTGTCCGGGGGGACACATTTACCAGGGGGGGGACAGAATTACCTGCCACATCGGCAACGCCGAATATAAAATTATATTGCTGCTACAACAGGGAGCCGCACCAAAATTTGCAGCAATAAAAGTGGAGTGTGCAATGTTCGTTATAAATGCTGGTCGCAAAGCAGGAGTAGAACCAGGCAGATGATGTCAACCCAAAGCAGAGTTGGAACGGAATCAAAGTTATTTCGCAGCAGGCCTTACAAGAAAACTAACCGAAACGCCCGGAATGTCAGCTATTTCTCTTAAAGCTATAGTCCATCATTTGTAATTAGTGCATTTTGTTCGTTTGAAGAAACAAAGGTGTTCAAGATCTAATGAAGGATACTGAACAACTTACTTGATGAAGTTTTAGCTCAGCTTCAGCTTCATATTCCGAGAAAAACAGCATTCTAGGATCTCAATTTAAAATCAAAAGTTGCTAAATTATGTTTCGAATTGTTTTGAATTGCAGCTATACGCGATGGTTGCGCACTGATCCAACGAATTATAACAACTGCGCGCGCCTGTGCGTCGTTCCAATGCTTATGCGCGCTGCGCCGAATAACAAAACGAACAACTAATTTAAATTTTCCTAGGTGCTTCTTAAGAAGCACCGTTGGAAATGCCTTCTTTCGTTGATTTCTTCAAAATGAGAGCTTGCCAGAAAGAATAATTTCACAGGGAGTTAAGTCCTCTTACTATCTTTCAACCAGTATGTTTTTCAACAATAATTACGCCGGTTACTTTCTTGGATAGCTGCAAATGATGGGCTCGGGCTTTGAACAAAGCGCGGTGGAATGCAAAACTCGCCTGCTCGCTACGCCCATTGCATAGTTTAGCAAAATTCTAGGCGGCGCGCGCTGTAAAAAAAACAGTTTAGTTGGCCGCGAGAGGGCGCTAGGCAAAAAGCACGATCGCAATGGCTGCTCACATGTAAAATTACACAAACACGATGTCACACCATGGGTCTGTTTTTCCCATGGAGGACAGTAGTAGATATATTTGACAAATTAGCAGGACAGAAAATCAAACTCCGGACGGCAAAATGTGTATGATCAAGACAAAATACTATTTAATTACGACAAATAAATATATTAAACAAACGGAAATTTACTATGTACAAATTATTTCAATTGAATTATGCCACTATATGAATTACTTATACTTTGAGTGACGGATACTCAACTATATCATGGCATTATAAGGATCCTGTATTATGTGTTATACGGCCGTTTCCAATACCCCAAAACAAATGCAATCACCCCCCTAAACAGTCACTGTTCAAAACCTTTTGAAGGACTTGCTGTGTTCAAAGCTCACACTTGTGACACGGGTGGTCGATTTGGAGCACCAGTCACACACACAACATCCCTCCGGCGCTTTGACGATCCCACTAAGGCGGATGAACTCCGGGCTTGGGGAACTTGGGTGACCTCTCCGGGCCTTGGAATCTGGCTCGATGCCTGGTCCACACAGGACTCGGTTCCGAATCTTCCTCCTGACTCTCTCGGTAGACCGTGAGCTAGTCTTGGGAGTTGACTTACTGTTGTTCACACAGAACAAGCTATCTGGTTCACCAAGAACCTAGGAATTCACTATTCCCACAGGGAAAAGCCCTTTAAAAAAAGGTTAAACATAATTCACAGTGAAAATTAGAGTGCCTACCGACTTATGATCAAATTTACATTCGCTCCATGCTCAAGCTAAATTTCTGGAATGAACATGGCATTAAAAATCTTCAAAAATTCTTACAATTTATCCTACTTCATCAACTATATTAATTTTAATGAAAATAAACTTGATTACAAAAGGCAATTCTATACATCAATCTCTAAAGATTAACTTCAAAATGCACCATTTCTGGACTATCACAATTCTCCCAAAATATTCATAATTTCTGTGTTATGCACTTCTATTACTGAATTATATTGTATAAAGCAGGATGAAATAAAACTTACAGTTTGCAGGATAAACTGGCTTTTTAAATCATGGGCCACGCCCTGGTACACACAGTACCACTGTATATACATGTACATGTACATGTACTCACACAGGACTGCACACAGGACTGCACACAGCGAAGTCTAGAATAGCAGTGCCCTGGGGAATGCACATGGCATCCAAGTCCTAACAAAATTACTCAGCCATGGCATTAATTTGCATACTGTCATTTGCATAAGAAAGATTTAGCTCTGCTGTACACTCTGGGTAGCCTCAATTCTGGATGGGGGAGAATTAAATTAACTTGTGCTAAAATAAATGTATAAGTGAAAATCCCATAATTAATTACATTAATAAACACAATGATAAATACAAAAATTGAAACATTATTTAAAAATATAAATCACACTTTGTGACATCAGCCCCTCACTTAAGATGATACACACCATTTATCATCATCTCTGGAAATCAGTAATTTACAGAACTTGTCACATACTAGTGTCTACATGTATTTACATCGTACATCTACTGAGGAAGTCTGGTCCTACATTTTGTGAACCTTTAATCGCTCTAATGATGAACCTATATGGTTGCAGGCTGAGGGCCCACCTCATCACTCGATTGTTGTTAACCTTGGCTTTGGTTAAGTATGACAATGGGTGATGGTCTGTCTCCAATACGAACTCTCTGCCATACAAATATATGTGAAATTTGGAGATCGCCCAAACTAGCGCGAGACATTCTCGTTCAATTGTCGAGTACGCGCGTTCACGCGGCAGCATCTTCCTACTCGCATAGCTTACTGGGTGCTTTGTACCATCGCGCTCTTGCATCAGAACTGCGCCTATTCCTACCTCAGAGGCGTCTGCCGCAAGAATATAGGGCTTATCAGGATCTGGAAGACTCAGAATAGGCTCTGATTCTAGACGGGATTTCAGAGTTCTGAATGATTGCTCTTGCGATGCTCCCCATTGCACACTATTTGGTGCACCTTTTCTGGTCAGGTCAGTCAACGGGGCAGCAATGGCGGCAAAATTAGGCACAAATTTCCGGTAGTAACTCAGCAGTCCTATGAATGATCTTACTTCTTTCTTACTCACCGGTCTCGCAGCATGAACTATCTGTTCCACCTTGCCTGGTCGTGGTCTCAGCACTCCATTTCCAACGATGTGACCTAGAAATTCAAGAGATTTGCAACCAATGTAACACTTTGAAGGTCGTGCCGTCAACCCTGCTGTTTGCAATCTTTGCAGAACTTCCTTCGGTACCTGTAGATGTCTAACCCATGTATCTGTATAAATCAAAACATCATCAATATAATTAATGACATGTTCTTGTCCTTGTAACAGCTTTCTCATCATCCTAGAGAAGAGCGCTGGAGCGTTCACCATGCCAAATGGCAACACTCTAAACTGGTACAACCCTTCAGCTGTCACAAATGCTGTCTTCTTCTTGTCCTCTTCTGCAATCGGCACCTGCCAATACCCTTTAGATAAATCTAATTTGGAAAAGAACTTTCCTGTCCCAAGCCTTGCCATCAGATCATCAGCATTCGGGATGGGCTCTGGATCGAAAACAGTGATGTTGTTTATCTTCCTGTAATCAATGCAAAAACGATTAGAGCCATCGGGTTTTCTTACCAAAACTATAGGAGAAGCGTAAGGTGACTCCGAATGTTCAATGACTCCTAATTTCAGCATTGAGTCGATCTCTTTCTTGATGACTTCACGCGTAGCTTGGGGTGTGGGGTAGGGTTTTGACCTTATGGGAACATCTGTGGTAAGATGAACTGTATGTTCAATAATGTGAGTCTTACCTGGCAAATCAGTGAGAACCGGTGTGTACCGCTGCAGAATTTCATCAACATCGGCTCTTTGAGCATCGTCCAAGTTTTCCCCAAGATGAACATCACTCATGTCTTCCTTTGCCTCTACCGGCGGGAGAACAGCTTCATCCAACCCATCTTCCTCATCTGGATCCTCCACAACAAACCCAACTCCTGCCATAGCCAAAACCTCAACCTGGGTGACTTCATCAGACCGACCTCGTTCCACGTACAGCTTTAAGAGGTTGGCATGGTAGGTCCGTTCTTTGTCTCTTACCTGAATCACGTAGTCATGCTTCGCAACCTGTCTCACTACCGGGTATGGACCTGTCCACTGCATTAACAGCTTGTTGTGATCAGTTGGTCTCAAAATAAGAACCCTGTCTCCTGCTCTAAATCGCCTATCACGGGCCTTGGCATTGTAGTACCTCCGGTACCGTTTTGACGCCTTCGCCAATTCATCTCTTGCCAGCTCACAGGTAGACTGCAATCTCTCACGCATATCAACAACATACTGGTAGGTAGTTTTGATGTCTTCATCTACCGTGTCCTCTGACCAGATATCCTGTAGGATGGAGAGAGGTCCCTTCACCGACCTGCCGTACATCAGCTCAAAGGGAGAAAATCCTAAGCTTTCTTGTGGAGCCTCTCGGTACGCAAACAACAAAGCCGGAAGAAACCTGTCCCAATCCTTTGGCCTTTCTGCACACATCCGTCGCAGCATTTTCTTCAAGGTAGCGTTAAATCGCTCAACTAAGCCATTGCAAATGGGATGATAGGGGGTCGTAGTGAGCTGCTTGATCGTCAGTAGTCTTCCCACTTCCCTCATGACCTCAGATGTAAACTGGGTTCCCATATCTGTCAGTACCTCTTGTGGAATCCCCAACCTTGAATATACCTCCAGCAAGGCTTCCGCCACTCTCTCAGACTCTATTCGAGGAAGAGCTACAGCCTCGGGGTACCGCGTTGCATAATCCACCACCACCAAAATATACCTGTTACCTCGGTCGGTTATTGGATGTATGGGTCCCACCAGATCAACGGCTATACGCTTGAAGGGGGTATCAATCAGTGGCATTTCTCCCAGTGACACCTTTCCAACTCGTCCTTTTGACACTGTCCGCTGGCAGATGTCGCATGACCTGCAGTACCTCTGCACATCACCAGAAACTCCTGGCCAGTAAAAACTCAAACACAATTTATCAGTCATCTTCTTGATACCTAGATGACCAGCTAGAGGGGAGTCATGAGCAAGCTTCAACACCTTACCCCGATACTTCTGAGGAACTACCAGCTGCTTTATGATTCTACCTCTGTCGACTTTAGGGGACTGAAACTCTCTGTACAACAGACCTCTATGCTTGACATATTTCGAAACATTAGCCTTACCAGACACACGGGGTGGGTCTTGGTTGTCAACATGCTTCCACAACTTAGCCAGAGTAGGGTCCTGTTGTTGCGCCAACAAAATCTCCTCTTTTGACACCGTCTCCCCATCAGTCTCCATCACCACTAGTGGTTGGAAAGCCCTCTCCTTCCGAATCTTCATACCACGAGTTTCCACTGCACCACCTGGTTTCTCATCTGTCACGGTCGTTGCTGTCTCCACTGTCACTCTCTGAGATGAAGGAGGCTGCCAAGACTCATCTGGACTTTGTGGATCTCTTGCTCCTGTCACATTTCCAATAATCAAATCATACAATGGATTATCCATGCATAAAGCTTCAACGTGCCCAATGAAAAAGGGAGTATTCACATCTATCTGGGCCACTGGCACTCGCCGGACTGTTCCATCTAAAAGGATACATGGTTGAATGCGACCTGTCAAGTTGTCATCACGAACTATGTCTCTACGGACAACAACTGTGCTACACCCTGTATCTCTGAGGACTGTTACAGGTAACTCACCAACTACTCCTTTCCTCACCGGCATGGATGGCTCAATGGTACATGCAGCACTGATGAATGGAAATGCCTTGTCACTAGCCTGCGGGACATCAGTCTTCTCAACTTCCTCCGTCGGCGTCACTGTCATGTTCAGGCAGGCAGCTCCAGTCTGGGATGGTTCCTTACTTTCAGTTTCCACCTTCAAACCTGCAACTTTGTTGGACTTACTGGACGGTTGGGCATTAGCTGGATTGGTTCTACAGTACTGAGCAATATGGCCAGTTTTACCACATTTGTAACATCGTCTGTTTGCATGTGAATTTTCATTTGGACTGGGTGAACTTTTGTGACTGTTACTCTTACCTGTGGTCTGGGATTGGTACCTAGGTGGGTGCGTTTTTGGTCTCACCACATCTGGTTTCTTCTTCAACCAATCATGAGCCTCCATGTAGTGGTCAGCGATGTCCGTCAGTTCGGCAAGGTCCTTCGGCTTCCGTTCTTTCACGTGGAGTGCGAGGTCCTTGTCTGCCACTTCCAGGATCTGTTCAGAAACAAAAAGGTCTACAACCTTATCGTAAGATTTCTCTATTTTCCCTAACTCTACCCACCTTTCCACGTATCCTTTCAACCGGTCAGCAAACTGAGCGTATCGCTCACCAGTTTCCCGCTTTGATGTTCTAAACTTCAGCCTAAATCCTTCCTCTGTTAGTCTGAAACGATTCAAAAGAGCAGTTTTAATCTCTGAGAAATCCTTAGCCTTTTCTACTGGTAACCTTGAAAACACTTCCAAAGCTTTACCTTTGAGAAGGGCACTAAGTGACAGGCCCCACTCTTCTTCAGGCCAACTGTTCAGTTCCGCAAACTGTTCAAATCGTCGGAGGTAGGCATCCATGTCATCTGTTTGATCATTAAAACAAGGAAGTTTGGGGGTTTTCGCCGAGCTTCGAGGGTACCTAAATGTACTTGAAGCTCCAGGGTCGGAACTAACAGGGGCATGTTCCTGCACTATTCGCAATTCGTATGCCTTCATTTCACGTTCATGTTCTCTTACCTGTTGCTTCTCCTCCCGTTCAATTCTGCGTTCTTCCCTCTCGTAATGTTCCCGCTGTTTCTTTTCCTGTAATTGCTCTCGCTCACGAGCAAACTGGACCAGCTCCATTCCTTCAAGACCTATCTCCTGTCCTATCTTGATAAAACTCTCAAACTCCATGTTAATTAGCAACAGAGTGATCAACAGTACAGAACTACACAAGTTATGCATATGGGACATTGAACACTCTATACTTCGCCTGCGTGACACTTTCCGTATTTGCGCAGCGTCCGCGATTCGACCCTATCGAAATGATCACCAACGCAACTCTGAACCGATCAACAATTTCGAGTGAGAATGTCTACAAGCCACAACAAAATCAAATCACTTCTGTCAATAGGAACAATTGTCCCCTTTGGTTGAATAGATCAACAATTTAGCGCAATCACACTGTGTAAAGGAAGCAAAGGGGCGAGGACATAGGTTTCTATATCAGAGACAGACCCTATCAATAGCCCATGAACAGAGTCTCTATACTCCACTTGAACCTACGCAACTTATTTACAACTAGTGTATTTCCCTGGTTAAATTTTACTGTCTACTAATTTCAGTCAACACATCCACAACGACAAAATTCGCATTCGATTCCCGGACAAGCCCCCATTTGTCACACCATGGGTCTGTTTTTCCCATGGAGGACAGTAGTAGATATATTTGACAAATTAGCAGGACAGAAAATCAAACTCCGGACGGCAAAATGTGTATGATCAAGACAAAATACTATTTAATTACGACAAATAAATATATTAAACAAACGGAAATTTACTATGTACAAATTATTTCAATTGAATTATGCCACTATATGAATTACTTATACTTTGAGTGACGGATACTCAACTATATCATGGCATTATAAGGATCCTGTATTATGTGTTATACGGCCGTTTCCAATACCCCAAAACAAATGCAATCACCCCCCTAAACAGTCACTGTTCAAAACCTTTTGAAGGACTTGCTGTGTTCAAAGCTCACACTTGTGACACGGGTGGTCGATTTGGAGCACCAGTCACACACACAACATCCCTCCGGCGCTTTGACGATCCCACTAAGGCGGATGAACTCCGGGCTTGGGGAACTTGGGTGACCTCTCCGGGCCTTGGAATCTGGCTCGATGCCTGGTCCACACAGGACTCGGTTCCGAATCTTCCTCCTGACTCTCTCGGTAGACCGTGAGCTAGTCTTGGGAGTTGACTTACTGTTGTTCACACAGAACAAGCTATCTGGTTCACCAAGAACCTAGGAATTCACTATTCCCACAGGGAAAAGCCCTTTAAAAAAAGGTTAAACATAATTCACAGTGAAAATTAGAGTGCCTACCGACTTATGATCAAATTTACATTCGCTCCATGCTCAAGCTAAATTTCTGGAATGAACATGGCATTAAAAATCTTCAAAAATTCTTACAATTTATCCTACTTCATCAACTATATTAATTTTAATGAAAATAAACTTGATTACAAAAGGCAATTCTATACATCAATCTCTAAAGATTAACTTCAAAATGCACCATTTCTGGACTATCACAATTCTCCCAAAATATTCATAATTTCTGTGTTATGCACTTCTATTACTGAATTATATTGTATAAAGCAGGATGAAATAAAACTTACAGTTTGCAGGATAAACTGGATTTTTAAATCATGGGCCACGCCCTGGTACACACAGTACCACTGTATATACATGTACATGTACATGTACTCACACAGGACTGCACACAGGACTGCACACAGCGAAGTCTAGAATAGCAGTGCCCTGGGGAATGCACATGGCATCCAAGTCCTAACAAAATTACTCAGCCATGGCATTAATTTGCATACTGTCATTTGCATAAGAAAGATTTAGCTCTGCTGTACACTCTGGGTAGCCTCAATTCTGGATGGGGGAGAATTAAATTAACTTGTGCTAAAATAAATGTATAAGTGAAAATCCCATAATTAATTACATTAATAAACACAATGATAAATACAAAAATTGAAACATTATTTAAAAATATAAATCACACTTTGTGACACACGAAGTTAAGAAGTTATGAAAAAAATGCTGTAGTAAGGAACAAGTCGGGGAAAAGTAAGTACTGAAACCCGACCTGGTTACAGGAAGTTAAAAAAAAACACCTCAAACTCCGCATTTTGTTCTCAACACGAAAAAGTGCGAGGGGTGTGAGATCCAATTGGCCATCCCCCCTGGTCAAAAACTGGCCGGGGATGTATAACCACCCTCCCCCTCCCCCCCCCCCCTTCCCGAATTAACGCCCCTGCCTCCGACTTCCGTCATTTAAAGGGGAAAACTACCAACAAGTTAGTATGCAGTTCGAATCATTACATTACCACTGAGATTTGTACGTTTTGTTTTTCTTTGACGCAGCTGTTTTTGCGATCTTCGATGGAGCCCAACCGAGCTAAGAGCAGGGCAGAGCGCCAATGGTTTAGCGGTCTTGAAGAACCTACCTAACCCGCACTACAACCACTGGTTCAGCGTGGGCTGCAATGTGGTCCTTCGAAACTGCCCCAACGACTGCCTGAATGCGGCCCATGCCTGGATGGGCGGGGCTATGTTCACCAACACGGCGGGCCGGCTGGCCTGCAAGAGCGTGCGGAGGAACGCGCCTCCAGGCAGTCCGATCTACGTGTACGCAACGTACGACCCCAGCGTGTGCGGCAGTCGCACGTGGCAGTACGTGACCCGGCTCTGCTGCTGGAAGATCAAGTTCCCTGACTACGACAACATCTTTCTGTACAACCACAGATGTGAAGATTCGAGTCCACCAGGATGCTGAGTGGTTTCCTAAGACAGCTACGACATCACGTAACTACACATCTGACTGATTCAGTCGAGCTAATTAGCTTCAACTTCATGCGAACTCTTTCCAACAGACTGTATATATGCCTTACTCGCGAACGAAGGATGACGCTGTCGCGCGCTGTAACATTGCTATGGCTAAAAGATCATTGTTCAAACTTTAGTTTCCAGATTTAGATAAAGTTACTAAACTACTCCAATAAACGGCATTTTGAGGTTGTAGTATTCACAAAATAACATTGGTCACCCCCCTAAGTCGCTCAAATTTCTGTCATGTTAAAATTCAGAAAAGTGTAGTTTTAAAAACACCACTTTACCCTTTTGTAATAATTTCATTTTCAATTTTTAAACCCTAACTTAACGTGCAGTTGTCATGAAATAAACGGACATTTTGAGGCTATTCTTTCGTTTCATATCGGCCAGTGCTACAGCTTAGATTTTGCACCAGTGAAGGATGCTCGCACGTCCTTGCTATAAATAAATGCTTTGCCTAAGCATCTATAGGCCAGTCTAAAAATCATCTCTCGTTTCTATGTTTTCCATTTAATGCTTATGAATGGTAGTTTCTTGGTGGAGTTAAATTATGAAAGATGAGTTTATAAAGGGTCTCTCACATCGCTAATATCTATACATAATATCTTAGAGACTTTAAAGTCCATTAGCTTTTCAACAACGTAAAAAAATGTTTCCTATCAGGCAAATATTTATTGAGTTATGGCCAATTTAAAACAAGCATGGGCGGATCCAGAATTTTTTGCGGTGGGTTCATCAGCAAAAAAAAAGTCTGAAATGTAGACAGGTTTATTTTCTCCAGACATTTGATCTCTGAAAATCATTGAAGTGGGGTGGGGGGGGGTGGGGGGGGGGGGCTCGTACCATATATACTTTCAATGGGGGCGCTGTTCAAATCTCACGATTATTAACACGATATTACAGAATAGTCTACCAATAGCCCCTATAACCAAGCTGGCTCTGTCCGTATCTTGTATGCACAGGCGGACATTATTACCAGTATAATTTTGTTGGATGTCAGAGCGGGGGGGGGGATTCGCATTTTTCTTCATGAATTTCTATGAAAACAATGAATTTTTGACAGAGCTGGGCTGGGGTTGAGCCCCAAACTCCCCCCCCCCCCCCTCCGATCCGTGCCTGACAAGTACCGCATATGAAACCAATGTACTAGTACACAATTTGTCGTCTGCTCATTTATTTTTTTACCGGACTCCTTCGTCCATTCCAATTGGCTACAATTGACGAGAAGACGTCACGTGCGTGCTTCTGACCAATGAGAGACGGCCACGAGGGTACGTCACGGATACTTCCTCGGAGGCCCTCCCGTCTTAAACAAAAATAAATTTAACTAGAAATGTGTTTGTGGACAAACACAAGCTGTTTCGGATATTTGAAATACTCTGTGCACGTGATGAACACTTGATGAAGTCACTTCGAATGTCATCTGCCAAGTGAAAAGTCAATCAGACATATAGTGCCAAAGTATGATTTGAAGAAAAACGTGTACAAACCCTACGGGGAAAAATGCATCTTTAATGTGAAGTAACCTTACACCTGATGATGTCACGATCACGAATTTCTTCTAGGACCATCTGTGGGTGGTAGTCTAAGTGTGTACCAAGTCTAACGTGGATCGGATTTACAAAAGTGCCAAAGTAGAATGTTTTAAAACGTGTACAAACCCTATGGGGAAAAATGCATCTTTAATGTAACGTAACCCAACACCTGATGACGTCACGATCACAAATTTCTTCTAGGACCATCTGTGGGTGGTGGTCTAAGTATGTATCAAGTCTGAGGTCGATCGGATTTACAAAAGTGCCAAAGTGGAGTGTTTTATAACGTGTACAAACTCTATGGGGAAAAATGCATCTTTAATGTGACGTAACCCAAAACCTGATGACGTCACGATCACAAATTTCTTCTAGGACCATCTGTGGGTGGTGGTCTAAGTATGTATCAAGTCTGAGGTCGATCGGATTTACGAAGAGGCCAAAGTGGAGTGTTTTAAAACGTGTACAAAACATATGGGGAAAAATGCATCTTTAATGTTACGTAACCCGACACCTGATGACGTCACGGTCACGAATTTCTTCTAGGACCATCTGTGGGTGGTGGTCTAAGTATGTATTAAGTCTGAAATCAATCGGATTTGAAAAAGTGGCAAAGTGGACTGGTGGAAGAAACGTGTGTTAAACCTATGGAGAAAAAGTCTGAAAAAGGAGAAAAAAAAAAAAACTAGAAATGTGTTTGTGGACAAACACAAGCTGTTTCGGATATTCGAAATAATCTGTGCACATGATGAACAATCAGTGATGTCACTAAACCTGTCATCTATAACAGCACATTATACGTACATGTCAAGTTATAACCAAATCGAACGTATAGGTCTGTAAATATAGGCCTATAAAGAACAAAATGCCCCTTTAAGGGACGTCACATGACATTTGATGATGACATCAAATGAATTTTCATCTATAACCCATCTCGGCATTGGTACGATCACGAATTTCTTCTAGGATTATCTGTGGGTGTAGTCTAAGTGTGTACCAGGTCTAACGTCAATCGCATAATTTACAAAAGTGCCAAAGTAGAGTGTTTTAAAACGTGTACAAACCCTATGGGGAAAAATGCATCTTTAATGTGATGTAACCAAACACCTGATGACGTCACGATCAAGAATTTCTTCTAGGACCATCTGTGGGTGGTTGTCTAAGTATGTATCAAGTCTGAGGTCGATCGGATTTACGAAGGTGCCAAAGTGGAGCGTTTTAAAACGTGTACAAAACATATGGGGAAAATGCATCTTTAATGTGACGTAACCCAACACCTGATGATGCCACGATCACAAATTTCTTCTTGGACCATCTGTGGGTGGTGGTCTAAGTGTGTACCAAGTATAAAGTCGATCAAATTTACGGAAGTGCCAAAAAGTGAAGCGTTTTAAAACGTGTACAAAACCTATGGGGAAAATGTGCATCTTTAATGTGAAGTAACGTGACACCTGATGACGTCACGATCACGAATTTCTTCAAGGACCATTTGTGGGTGATGGTCTAAGTGTGTACCAAGTGTAACGTCGATCAGATTTACGAAAGTGCCGAAATGGAGCGTTTTAAAACATGTACAAACCCTATGGGGAAATATGCATCTTTAATGTGACGTAACCTGACTCTTGATGACGTCACGATCACGAATTTCTTCTAGGACCATTTGTGGGTGGTAGTCTAATTATAAATTAAGTTTAAAGTCGATCGGATTTACGAAGATGCCAAACTGGAGTGTTTTAAAACGTGTACAAAACATATGGGGAAAAATGCATCTTTAATGTGACGTAACCTGACACCTGATGACGTCACGATCACAAATTTCTTCTAGGACCATCTGTGGGTGATGGTCTAAGTATGTACCAAGTCTGAAATCAATCGGATTTATAAAAGTGGCAAAGTGGACTGGTGGAAGAAACGTGTGTTAAACCTATGGAGAAAAAGTCTGAAAAAGTCTGAAAAAAAAAAGAAAAACTAGAAATGTGTTTGTGGACAAACACAAGCTGTTTCGGATATATTTGAAATACTCTGTGCACATGACGAACAATCAGTTACGTCACTGTAAATGTCATCTATAACAGCACATTATAATACGTACATGTCAAGTTACAACCAAATCGAAAACATTATAGTTCTGTAGATATAGGCCTACAACAGAATAAAATGCCCCTTTAAGGGACGTCACATGACATTTGATGATGACGTCACTTCAGTTTTAATCTATAACACGTCCCTGTGAATGTGCATACCAAGTTTTAATCCAATCAGACTTGTACCTGTACTTCCGAAGTTATAGCGATTCGAAGAAATGCTCATTTAATGTCACGTCACGTGACACGTGATGACGTCATCATTACGAACTCACTGAGGACCCTCTTAGGCTGCTGCTTTTACTAGTGTCTGACAAGTGTAAAGTCAATCAGGCATATAGAAGTGGAAAAGTGTATGGTTTGAAGAAAAACGTGTACAAAACCAATAGGGAAAATGTGCATCTTTAATGTGAAGTAATATGACACCTGATGACGTCACAATCACGAATTTCTTCATGGACCATCTGTGATTGGTGATCTAAGTGTGCACCAAGTGTAACGTCGATCGGAATTACGAAAGTGCCGAAATGGAGCGTTTTAAAACGTGTACATGCATC